TTGATATTAATAGGCAGTTAAACTCCGTATCGTAGTAAACGAACGTCGTAGTATGTGTAAATTAACGACCGTTAATTGACTGGTAGGAATAAAATGAATTTCTTATACCAATTTCTTTTCCCCCTTTTATATGTTCTTTATAATTACGTCAAAATTAACCATCTTACACATTACTCGTGTGGAATAATTCACGTTTATTTTAAACTACACCAATGACATAACAATGAATTCTACAATTAGAAACGTAAGAACGTGACCAATTATACGCTCCCTCTGACCAAATAATTAACCTACTCGTCGAATATTCGCGACTATACTTGGAGCCATTAGTGAAAACGTTTATGAAATGCCGACTACCAAATAAAAGACAGCCTGTAATTTAATTCCATTACGTTCACACTCGATTCACTACGAATGCCTGCGGTTTCGTATTTTTTCTGAGCCACTTCGTCTCGACTTTTCAGCTTTCGCTGGCTTCCGGCATTTCTTGCCCGTTCCTCGATCCGATTTCTCGTCGTCACGCGGTTAGAATACCGGGCCAATTCGCGTAATTCGTTACCATAACCTCGCCGCAACTCGTGCATTATCCCCCATCGAGTGAAACAAAAATCGAACTGTATCGAACGGATCACGAACCGTGGAAATTGTTCCAGAATCGCGAGGACAATCTGGCTGTCACCAACGGGGGAAGATCTGTTCGATTGAAGTGTTTGCGTTGGCGAACGATGTAACCGTGAAATGTTAGTTCGGATCTTTATTTAACGTTTCGTTCCGCGGATTCGTTTCGGAACGTTACACGCCTTCGATTTCGCAATGATTTCGTTACGTACCGTTATTTATAGATATTAGACAATTGCGATCGTTCGCCGCAATCGCCGATCCCCCATTGACAAGGCATATTAGTCATTTCGTAATGAACGCTGATTGTGCCGTATAACCGGGTGAAGAAATAGAAACGTCGATTTTATGTTTGAAAGCGTTGCTTTCGTTAAATTCATGCGAACCCTTCACTCGATACAACGATTCTTATAGCCGTTAACTGAGGATTTCTCGAAGGTGCAATTCGATACCGATAATGATAAATGGAAATTTCATTATTCTTCAATTAATTTCGTTTCATTAGGCTCGTTAGGAAACAAATGCTTTTCAACAAGTATTCGTTTAATAAAAGAGATAAAAAATTGAATTATTCCGTTTCCGAAAAATTTCTTCGAAGAATTGATTTCGTTCAATTCGCGCCAGTCTTGCAACGTGTCTCGTGATAAATTCAATTATTCCGTATCTTAATTCAATTTCGTTTCATCGAAGGAATGTTCCTTAAATAGGTTTTTTTCTACTTGTTCTTTATTGAAGAATCTTTGCCAGGTTGTCGCTTCGTTCTTCCAAGAAACGTGGACGAAAAAAAAAAGCAGCGAGGCACAAGCCGCAAATTCATGAGATTCTAGACTAATCTATCCCCGTGGCTCTTGCGAGATTTATGGTGGTTCGATACGTTTCACAGGGGGGATTCCTTGATTCGTATCGACTCGAGACCGAGCAGAGTCATTGACTGAAGGGAATTGGTTAATAGGCCTTATGAAATTGAACGCGTCGCGACCGGTTTGTATCGGTGCGTTTCATTCGTGAGCGGAGTACAGATTGCGTGCAAGGTAATCAGAAGGAAAAGAGGCTGCAATCGTTTCGATCATTTCGCTTAAAATTTTCAAACCTGAGAAATTCTTCTTCCGTTCTCCTAATTTTCTTTATCTTCATTTGGGAGTCGATATTTCAGAAAAGTGAAATCTTTCGAACCCTCTGAAACCCGAGCAATTTTTCTATGGTTTTTCCACTTTTCCTTATTTTCATTTGGGAGTCAATATTTCGGAAAAAGAAACTGACCCTTTGAAAGCTAAGCAATTTTTCTACGATTATTCCACTTTTCTTTATCTTCATTTGGGAGTCGATACTTCAGAAGAAGAAAGTGAAGCCGTTTCGAACCCTTTGAAACCCGAGCAATTTTTCTATGCTTTTCCCACTTTTCCTTATTTTCATTTGAAACTCAATGTGGAAAAAACAGAAGTTTAATTATTAAAAAATTTTATACACAGGTTAACTTGAAATTTAAAGGGACAAAAGTGTGAGTGAGTGCTCACTCAGGCACCTAAGTGTTAATTAATTAGTACAGAGATCGTCGTGTACCTTCGTTTGCATCCAATGAATCGTAGGAAAAAAGCGAAACTTGTAAATTGAAATACGTTCGAATGGAATGGAAGCATGAATTCGTTGCAGAGATGGACATCGAAGATTCGATTCGGGGCCGAGACTTGAGTAATGGAATCACGGGAGAAATTAGATTTCAATTATTTGATAAGCCGAGTAAAGAATTTGTGGCGGGAAACGTTCAAGTAAATATTCGTACAGAAAGTTTTACGTAACATTCGTGAAAAAGACAGCGAAATTTTCAAAAGAATAAATTTCACAGAAAGTCAATTACCAAGCAATTAACTTATAAAAAGTACAAATTTCGAATATACAAATTAACGATTAAATTGTACAAAAATTTTGCGAAGAATAAATCTGACAAAAAAGTGAAAACTGCCAAAAGTAAGAAAAATAGAAAACCACTGAATCACGTTTCGCAACTCTCATCGTGATACAAAGGAGTTTTTTATATACGTTTCGAACATTCTTATTAAAGACTTCAAAGTTGATTACGTCAGATGAGTAATAGCGTATAGAACGAGATTATCAAAGTACACATTTTACGTTCTGCCACTTAGTTTCTCCACGTTGCATTTGCGAACAGAGGTGAAAGACGTATATACTTGCTCGTTATGATAAAATCCAAGGTGGTCTTGATCTTCTTTTTCAAACAAAAGAAGAAAAAGAATTGCACAAATCTCGAATTCTCCGTAATATCGAAAATCTACCTTTTACATTTCTTTTGCATTTTCGTTTATTTTCCTTTTTTTTTGGAAATTGCGTAACGAGGAAAGTGCAATTGTAATTATATAAAATTCTACGTATAAAGCGTAGTTAACACACACATGTGGCGAACGTTTGTGCATGTTAACCAATTCTTTTTTTTTCTCTATCTGAATGAGAAAGCATAGAATTATATCACGTCCGATTAATTGTTCGAGGGCAAGAACACCGTTTCCCTTCCTTTCCATTCTTCGACTCTTCGAATTAGGAACGAGCAGTCTGTATTTCTAAACTGAATGTTTCAGTTGCATAATATCGATGGTATACTTGTTGGCAAATAAGTAACCTGTCTCGAGCTTGTTAATTAGGATTTTCTCTTAATAGAGCATTTGGAAAATGTAAAATTTCTGAGATCTGTAGATTCTTTCAAGTTTTCTCGAATTTCAAAAATCTCCTAATTAAAAGTCTATCACTGTCTTAATTGAACAATACTGAGCAACGTGTCTGCCCGTTCCACAATTGCGGAGTTGAAAGTTAAAAAATTGATAATTCATTTGGTCAGAGATAGAGCTAAAATCGTTCTAAAATCAGAGTAATTTATTTTTCATAAAAATTGATAAAAATGATAAACGCTGAAAGTTCATAGAAAGTTATCGAGTGATAAACGACTGAAAATTGTCATTTCTGGTACTTACATCCTTTTACCATTTCATCTCCTCAATTGTCGAGAAAAATAAAAACACCGAAAAATATTTTCCCCATTTATTAATATTAGAGAACACAGATTGTTCTCGACGTACGTTCACCCATAGAAAGGACAAACTCTTGCGGTGTATCCCATTGATCCTATAAACGGACGAATTAAACACGCGACAATTTTTCACCAACGAAACAAACTGAAATTTCATCCGGTCTTATTATCCAATCCGTTCGAGAAGCGGATCAACGTACAGACAGAAACTTTAATCCAACTACTGGGTAATTGTCGCGGTTTGAAAATAAAGGGTGAACGGCCTGATCAGTTTCGTATTTGAATAAATCGGAGGCACACTGGTGTAACGTGCATAATTTTCCGTGACACCGACAAGAAAATATCGCGCGGTTACAGTTCTACGAACGAACGAGATAATAAATCGACACTCAGTCGCCTCCAAGTCGACGTCCAAGGTGGACACATTCCCTCGATACGTGGACGAAACCAGCGATACTGGAATAGAATGGAAAAGTGGCAATTTGCATCCGTTTTGCAATGTAGATCGACCGTTCGCGAACCTGGATAATTGCTTCTCTCGTTGCACCTAATAATAAACCTCTAACTTTCTGTTTTCCGACCGTTTCACCAAATCTGTATCGATATTATTTCTTTACGCGAGTAAATTTTTTGATGGAAAAAATCCTGGTGTGTATGTGAACAATAGCACGATTTTCTGTGTATAATACAAAGAAGTTCTGGAAAGGCTTTGCATATTAGATTTTATCTGATTGCAAAATTCTTGGAGCACAGGTAAAAGGTGAGCTGGAAGTAGGGTAGGGAGCTGGATATCTCTAAATCTTGGAATTAGTGTACTATTAGTTCTCTATTTGTCTAACTGCCTATTAAGGTGAAAATTTATGCGGAGATAATAGTAGTTAGTGTTAAAAAATTTCAACGCTTTCACTTTCGAATTTCTCGAGTTTATAATCATTTATCAAACTTAACTTTCCAAGTTACACTTAGCGAAACAATTCAATTTAAAGAAATAGAAGTACAAAATAATAAAAAGTGTGGACCAGAAAATAAAAATTCGAAACTACCACGAAGATATTAAACTTTGCCTTCAATACTACACTTTCCAAGAAATTCCAAAAAGTAGAAACACAAAATGTACGAAGTGAATATAAAAAGTAATTGCACGCCTTCTGAAAACACTCGGAGAGATCTCGTGGACCAGAAAGTAAAAAGATACGAAAGGACCGTAAGAGTCGCCCGAAACAAAGTGATTTCTGACAGGTACAACATGGGATGCAAGCGTTTCTCGCTTGGTCCAATATTCCGGGCGCGATCAGCTGGGTGAGAGGTGTGTAAGAAAAGAATCACAAATTTCTAAGCGGTAATCGGGCTCCTGCTGCTAATGGCGACCTGGCGAAACAACGATAGCTGTAACGGCCTGCAATATCAACCGGTCGAGGTTTATGCAAACGGTGATGACTGTGCGTTGATCCTCAACGGGCCTGGAAGGACCAGCGTCTTCGATTACACGTACAATTTGCTACGTGGCTCCTTGTAAGTAATCATAATAACAGCGTGTATTCTTTGTCTTCGTTCCAACGTTAAAGAGTGTTGAGGGGTTATATTAAATAAATAACTCGTGTGGAGTAAAGTAAATAATTATATTTTAGAAGATGTTCAGACAGATGTAGACAAGATGGGCGCACGGTATAACTCGTGTGGAGTAAAGTAAATAATTATATTTTAGAAGATGTTCAGACAGATGTAGACAAGACGGGCGCACGGTAAGAACTGCTTACAAAACGTGACAGTGTGCACTTTTATACCTGGGGTGTTCGCAGGCATCCCCAAACCATATTTATCGGACGTGTCATAAACCTACCAATATTCTAGGACGTCGATTTTTCCATGCAGTACTCATAAACCATTTTGCTTCAACAAAGAGATCTCGATATAGTTCGGTACAGCAACGAAAGTGAATCGCCTTAAGCGAGGATTCTTTCCCTGCTGATTTATTAAACGCTGCTCTCGCTACATATCTATATTAGTCTGTTACGACACGCTCGCTTATGGAGCTCAATGAACGTTTAATATGATGAACTGGCTGTCTTTCGTGCTTGCAAAGACGGTTCGTTCCGATGGAAACGAATTTGGTAGTGAATATGTTTCAATTTCAAGAGAGATGAGAATTTTTTCAGGGCAACTTTTAATGAGTTTCAATAATACAAATTTATTGCGAAAATTTGTGAATCACTTCATTGCCTAAAAATTGACAATTTTTTCCAAAATAAAATTCGATAAAAGGATCATATCGTAGCTTTGATCGAGAAAGAAACCCAACGTTAACAACATTAAAACGTCAAAGTAAACGATTGACCAACAAAGTACATACAATCGATCAACCATCGATCGATGCGAGAAAGATCGAAATGTCAGATTTTCTACGGTTTCAATTTCTAACGAAACGAAAAGAGAGCTTCGAGCAAGCTTGAAGCCCGAGGCGTATCACACGATACCATAATATCGCAATTATCGCGCGTTCTCTCGTCGATTACAAACTTAATTATGACTCGGTATTAATCCCACCAATCTCTCGATCGAGAATTAATGATCGCCGTCGGTGAACCCGTTGTTTCGCCAGATTTTCTCTGTACCGATCGTTCACCCCGATCTCTGTGTTCTACTTAAAAGGCACGTGGAACGGTATAATTATATCTTTCGGAGTTTGGAGTAGCCGAATCAAGACACCGATCTTACGCAACGAGACCTACACCGACATTTTCGAGGTCCGGAGAAAGCAGGAACAACGTTGGAAAACGGTAACAGGACTTTCACTATCTATCTAACCTTTGTTCCTCGACAACAGGATCCGACTATCACTCGATCGAGAGCTTCAATCGAGAGAAATTTAGAAGGTTAGAATATTATTGAAACGTGTTTCAGACGATCAATTTCTCTTTTCATATGTGGACCATCGTCGTTCAGATGTTTATCAGTGGTTCTTTCTGTAGTTAAAGAGGTAACGATATTCTTGATTGTGTCAATCGACGAAGATTAGAAAGTTGAAGATCGAAGAACGAAGTTTCATCTCGTCTATCGTTATGCAAAATGTCACCGAACTGACTATCTTCCTGCGACATTTTCACGATATCCTTGGACATGTTAAACGGTGAAAATTGGAAAATTGCAAAATGAGAGGGAATCGAAGATTACAATATTTTTGGTGAAGATTGAAAAGCTGAAGCTTGAGGTGAATTCTCATCCCTACTATCGTAATTTGATTATCTATCGAGAACATATTCTTCGAAGTGTTAACTCATGAAAAATGAATCTTCAATCAGGTGAAAATACGCGAAAGACTCTCACCAAATTTTCACAGTTTCATCTTTGATCCGTATTCCTGAAAACACTCAGTTCGCAACGAGATGTCCAGCCGGTGTTTCCGCGATTCTCTCGGGACATCGAGCGTCCGATAATAATCCATCAAGCTGGAATAAAAGTTCAGACGCGAAACGTTGAGTCGTGAGAACGTGTAACGAGATTACACCGTCACTAGCCACGGAAAACCTGATCTCCTTTTGTTTATCAACGCGGATAAAACAATGGAGGGACTGTTGTAACCAGCTAGGCACACAGAACCTTGAAACGAGACGAGATGCCGAGCTACCGCCGTTGCCTGGCATCTGAAGAAAAAAGCTGTACCGGCTATCGGAGAATTTTCGAGGAGACGAAGGCTGTGAAATTGATGGAAAGAGACAGCTTCCTGTGTTATTCATGATAATTATAGAGAGTTGTCTATATCGCGAGAGAAACTGCAATGGACTACTGGTTGATGAATTATTAATGGAAGGTCGATAACGAGGAGGCCAGGACTTGATCCAGCTTGAAAGCTACTGCATCCAATTATAATACAAAGGGTGATTTAAGATGTGGTTCCAAGAAGTAGTCGATTCGTAAAGACAGATCTGGAATTGCTTGCTGGAATTTCGACATGTTTCTTTTCGTTTATCATCCCGGTTTCTGTTCTTTCCTCTTTTTTCTTTTAACGATTGTGTATACAGACGTAGAGGCGTGTTACGCAAGCAGAGCTGTGTTATAATATTATAATAATACGGGTATAAAAGTGGTGGTAAATAGCTTAGGGTACTTCACGAGTCCGCTGGCAAATTATAACCTATCAATGGGTATAAATGGAGGTTGTATTTATTATGAGCAGTGACTGATGGAAAGCAATTGCTGGCGAAGCTTTTACGTACAAGTCACGTTACGGTTAAGCAAATATAGCGGAGTTAGCGAGGGTTTAAGTAGCTAATAGTACGACATTACTCATAAAAAGTGTAAATACCGAGAGAGAAAAAAAAGAAGTTGTAAAAATCTCGTTGAAAGCAAGGACGCGAATTAACTTGGGGACAGTTTCACCGAGTGAAATAATATTATTTATTCTATGCAAAGAAAATGATCATTTACTAAAATAAGAATTAGCAAAGACCTCGAAAATTAAGGGAACAAAACTACTTTGTGAGGGAAAAATATTGATACACTGGTTGCAAAGTATTTTTAATAGTTGAAAAGATAGAATTGAAAAAGGGGAGTGAAGTTGCAAAGATTGGATGGATTGGAAGTTACAAAAGCAAGAAAGTAAGGAATATTGGATTACACAAATCGTTGGCGAATTTCTGTTATTTCGTGAAGCACCTTGCCCAACGTGGAATCGATTTATTAATCCCATATCTGGACGAAGATTCACGAGAGACGGTGTTTCACCGCGACAGAGCATGATTCTGTCAGTTCTAACGAGGCATAATACGATTGCATCGTTTTCCCCGCAATTACGAGATTCGAACTGCCTACGCGTGCCTATGGCCCCTAAGTGTTATTGCACGTTAACGCGAGCAAGAGAGGGAACGAAGGAGCCGTGAGCCATGTTGTCGGCAGTGACTCGTGCAGTCACGATTAAATCTTCTAATCGTGAAAAAATCGTCACGGCTGGTCGTGATCCTTTTGCGGCTGGTCGCTAATAAAACACGACAGATCTGCTCCGGGATACAAGGAAGCAACGATCCGGCAACGAATCTGAGACGCCACAGGACCTAATGCGTATAATTAGAAAGCTGGATGCATTTATAGAATTTTTATGATGGGGTATAATGAAAGCTTGCTGATCGTAACGAATATTTTTCGTTGGTTAGGTATGGTTTATGTAAGGTTCAAAGGGTAAAGGTGCAAAGGTGTTTCTCACGTGAGTTGTTCGATATTCGGGAAACTTGCTGATTCTGGGAATCTGAAAGTCTGAGATTGTAAGATATGGAAAGTGTGAGATTTTAGGTTTGCGGGATTCTAAGATTCGGAGATTCTTAAATTCTAAGATTTTCGAATTCTGGAATACCGAGATTTTAAGTTTCTGGGATTCTAAGACTTGGGAATTCGGAGATTTGGAGATTCTGGGATTCTAAGATTCGAGAATTCTGAGATTTTACGATTTGGAGATTCTGAGATTCTAAGATTTTGGAATTCTGGAGTCTTGAGACCCTCAGAGTCTGAATTTCTAAGATTTTAAGACTCTGAGATTCTGAAATTCTGGAATCCCGAAAACCTAAGTTTTTGAGATTTGGAATTCGAACACCCCAAGATTCTGGATTCTGAAATACTAAAATTCTAAGATTCCAATTACCCTCTAAAATTACAAATCATTCACCAAACAATCCAACACACATCTCTTCCCCTTCGTATCACGAACCACCGTTCGCCTACTAGATCTTCCAAGATCCGCCAGATAACCACACAAATACAAATAATCCTTCACGATTATTCAATACCCGATTCTCAAACCTACAAACCTACCAAACGACTGTTCCACGCGTTATATGTTTACAATTACACCGTGCACATGTACCGACACGATATTGCATCGTATCTGCACGCTGGAATCCATACGTTTGTTTAGCAAAGAAAGAAGTCGCCCGAGGACAAGATATAATGGCTCACGGCTGAGAATGCAACAAGACGAAACACGCGACCTATCTGTGCGTTACACTTGCACTTACTAACCTCGGTGAAAGCCAGATCGACACCGCCGCCGCCGCGTTCACGCGGCTCAAATATTTTCACAAGGCGCAAGGAGAGGCCTTTGCCGGTGCAACGAACCACGTAAAAGAATGTGTTCCTTGAGAATTTCCACGTTCACAGTACCACTGAACGTCGATTAATTGCCACGAGACGTTATCTATTCTTCTAAACGTATCTCTCTATACGTCAATTCGAAAGTTAACAGAGAAAGAAAGAAAAAAAAATCGGTCACGGTGTTCGAGTGTCGTGTAACGGAGCTTCTGGTTCTCGACGGCGACAAAAGATCACGCTTCAAGGTGTGAAGAATTTTTCACTTTTTCTTCTTCTATCCGTACAAAAGTATGTGAAAAATATGGTTTTAGTCATCGATACTACCGTTACAATTCAGCCTTGTATACCGATACTCTGTCAGCTGATACTGAATGGAATGGGAAATCTATAGCTTGTGCAACTAATACAGAGATCGTGTTCCTGGTTTCGTTACGTCGACAATGTGTATTCCGTAATGTGGTCTAACTTTTCTGCCTTTACGTCCTATGAATGCGACTTATTCCCGTTACTATTTGCATGTAGGGTATATCGAGAAGGCGTAGTCTCTCACGACGCTTGTATTATAGATCTCCTGGTGTGTACATACTTAGGGGTTTCGTAGCGAGGCTTGGCAAAGTCGAGACGCTTGAAGGAATGTTTATGAAAAGTTCGAGAAGCGTAAGAAGGAAGTTGACTGAGAGAGAGAGAGAGAGAGAGGAATTTTAAGCGTGATAGAGGATACGAGGGGAAACAAGCCGATGGAAAGGGGCTTCGAATGTTAAACGAGAACGTTTCGAAAGGGGAAATAATTAATAGTTAATATTCTAGTAGATCGAGACTTCGATTTGTATTGGCATAGCAATTAATTATTCTATCTTTATATCAACATTTTGCATTAACAGGAAAAGAATTGTTGTTATATTAAAGATTATATTAAGATTGTACTAAAAATTGTACGAAGAATTGTTGTTAAATTACAAACGTTGGATATCCTTTATTTTTCGGTACAATATTTCAATTACGATAATTACGAATCACTCAGACTCACCAAGGGTGGAGAAACTGCGCCCCAAATTGTGCCACAACGTCTTCTCACACTTCACACTGTATCACACTGTTTAATACACGCGTAATTGATCTACTTTTACGGAAAATTTCGATTTTAGCAATGATTTTAGAACGATATCACGGAACGATCCACGTCGATTCGATTTCGACGACCAACTGGCTGACGACATCCTAAGAGCTCGAAAGGTTTCGTGCGATTAGAGGTCGGACGCCGTCTGTTTGTATTGAAAATATGCCAGCGAAGTCGAAAAAAAAATTCCAGGCATATGTCGAGTGGTAATTCTGAGAATATCGCCCGTGTTTATTGTCAACTATTTTTTGTTTACGACAGAAATTTTGCTACGCCGCGAACTACGTACAGGAAATTTACAAAATATTCACCGAACGTGGAAAGAAGAAATGTCGTATCGGATTCGAGGATAGAGTTCGACAAATACACAATTTCATTATTAGAAACATCGATATCGTTGTTACTACTAAAAGCGGACGTTGTCTCGATAAAATCGAATTCGTCGCGGTATTTTATATCTTAATTGTTCCTCTGTGGAAGAATTTCACGTCATTTATGTAACTCGCACGCTGCTAGAATGTGTTTCGGTTAAATCAGAACTAAAAGTACGTACTTTCTACCCACTTTAAAACTGCTCTCGGCCAATTTCGTTACGTTATACGAAATGCAGTCCATGTAAGCCATTGAAGGGGGAAACACGTTTTAAACGTGACTTTTCCTTTTACGAGTACGGCATAACTAAACCGGGTGAATATGCAGAGATTGTTTTTAATGCGACTGCCTCGTACAGACCGCTGTGATCACGGTGAACACATTGTCGAAGTGACTCTTTTCCCCTTGCAAAAATCTTCGCTGTTCGATTGATTTTATTCGTTAATTATATATATGTATGTAGAGTGATTCCCACTAATATTCGGACACTATTTAGAACAGTGTAACTCTTTCGACCCAACGACTTGCGTTTAATTTTTTGCCTGAGCTTGTAGTAAAAATTTGAAAAATACGTTTTGTAGATTTATGTCAATTATACAGATACTGAAAATTTTCAACGTGTGTATCACTGACATAGATCTACAAAACGTACGTTTTAAATTTTCACTACAAGCTCAGATAAAAAAGTTGTCAACAAAGTTAGAATTTTTTTCACACGTCGTAAAGGAAAACTCTTAATTTTGAAAGAGTTACACTGTTCTAAAGAACGTCCGAATATCAGTGGGAATCGCTGTACGTAGCAATCGATTTGAGAATTGTAGTACAGTAAAGAAGGAATGAAAAATAGTGGCGTGAAAAATCGGATAAAAATCTAATCTGCAGAATGGGGTGAGTAATAACGTCAATTATTCATTTTCTAAACGCCTATTCTCGGTATTTCCATCTGGATGCTTTAGAAAATTGACGCGCGTAATAAATTATTAAACACAGCAATATGAAGGTTATTAGACCAGACGCTATAAAGCGAAATTGCACCGAGAATGCACCGTGTTGCAATTAAATTCAGAACGACCCTCAAGTGCATTCTCGCGAATACTTTCAGCGTGTAACCATTACTCTATTTAATAACGATTGTGACAGGATAATTTGTGAGAAAACATTTCTGAACACCGACGGATTTCAAGACACAATTTACGAATACCATATAAGCGGTATAAGAATGTTAATGAAGTTCTACAGTGGCTCCTCCGAACCTTTTAATTGATGAACCGTATAGGGAAACCGAATTTTCAACGGGGTAACCGTAACAGAGCCATTTAACCAGCTGTTAAGAAATCAATCGTATTTGTAACGTGTCATTCGTGACGAGGAAACAAAGTAATTTTTATGGCGAGGGAAAGAAATGATCTGAATTGTCTGTAATGAAGTGCAACCAGCAGAGATTAAATCTAACCCCATACAGTTCAAATCCAATCATAAAATTTCTATTTTTTAAGAGAATATCAAAATTAAAGGGACGTTTACTTCTTCTACCTCTTCAGATAGACATAACTCAGCCAAAATTGTACTCTAATTAATTCAATAAATAAACTAACCAACCACAGAATCCTGGTCCTAACCTAGCCCAACATTTCATCTTAATTCACTGTCCAAGAAATACGAGTACAAAGTTAACCAACCTTAATCCCTCCTTTCTAAGCACATAATCCGTCCACGTAGACGAAACTATTAATTCAAACACAGACTTCTTTCTATATCCCAAAAAACCCGCACGCACGTGAACGAGTTCACACCAACTCACACGAAGGTGTTAATATGCATCAAAGACAGTGCATTAACATTCGTTACATCGTCCACTGCAAGTATTCACAGAACCTACAATTACTCTTCAGCATCGCCGAGTAATAAACATCCAGGAAAATATCCTTATAATTACTCCCTGATCAGATTGCGAATAAAAAACACCTGCTACCGGGTGCCCCGTTAATTAAACCAGCGATATGTCGGGGGACGTATCGTAATCCGAAAAGCAAAGAGGTCGTAGACGAAACGAGGCAGTTGGTCAACCTTCGAAGGTAAAAGACACGAGCGGCACGTCAATGCCGTCATATTTCGTAGCGAGAAACAGGATATGTGAATTGACGAGTGCACGGTTCGTATATGATAGTTTCGGGTTACCTTGGACACAGAATATCCCCTAGAGCGTCTATGCGCCAAGATGCACGCGTAGAAGCTGTCGTCTATATTGAACGAAAGTAGGCTAGAACGTTAGGTAATTAACTCGAAAGAAAAGGCTCGAAGAGCGAAAGCAAGGCGTACATACAAAGCTGGGCGAAGGAAGCAGGCTGTGCAGAGGATAATGCAGTTCTAGGCAAGAGATAGCACGCGCCTAACTTTCCGTTTGCTTCATCTTTCAGCCCACCGACAGCTGGATCGCAGACATGCATCACATACGAAGCGGTGAATCGCGCCTACGTCGAAGCGAGAAAACGCATCAGTGAGTGTTACAAATAGCATGGATAGGTTGTAAAGAGGGGAAAAATGGTTAATTATGATCGTACGTCGCCCGAATGATTTACCGTGTTGTTTGTTTGTGTGGGAGTTGTTTGCTCGCGATTCCCTCGCGTCTTCGAAACGATTACATCGCTCCTAGGCTTGTTACAATATCCTTGGCTAACGCGATCCCTTTGTCTGGCTGCGTTCGCGATTATGCTCACGCACGTTTCGTCGGTTCATGCAGATGTGGCGCAACCGAAGAGCAAAATGTGGAGGCCGGAAGATCTGGCCACCGTTGGAGAACTCCTGCTGGATGTTAGCAGCAACATCGCTCAGATGTAAGGACCTTTCTCTTTCGATTTGTAATTTCTGCTGGGTTATTGTGAAATTCGCGTGAAAGATGCTCCTTTTGGAACGTTTTTCAAGTGATACAATTTTTCGAGTTTCGTTGAAAATGGCTGATTAACTGGGAGTAAATGAATTAGGGTATCTTTTTAACCTTTATCGCAGACTCTTTCAGAGTTAGTTCTCGTTTTTTTTCTAAATATTCACCGATGAACGCAGGTATGGATTAAGCTACGACGAGATCGAGAAAAGTCTACCTTTAATCGACACTTCGAAGACGCTGATTCGCGAGGTGTGCCCTGCCTTCTTGAGCAACGTCGAGTGTCGAGCTGGAAAATACAGAAGAAACGACGGTCTGTGCACGAATCTACAGAATCCAACCTGGGGTTCCAGCTTGTCACCCTTCCAAAGGTGAACTATCACTCCTGATAATACTTAACTGTGGATCAAATCAAAGAGGCTCAATTTATCTCATCTTATCAATTTTAAATCCCCCTTATCCTCGAATTCTAGATTCTGAAAATGTCAGAAAAATTCGTCAGACTAACCTAGAGTTAAACAACGAGTATCTATTTTTCTGTAATGAAATTCTTGTTCAATTGCGTAGATTGATGACTCCACGATACGCAGATGGCCTAACAGCGCCCAGAATATCAATAACCGGTCATGACTTACCATTATCACGCGTGGTATCACGTACCATGCATCCTGACGAGGGTTATCACGATCACGCTGGCACAGTTATGGTCATCGCCTGGGGACAGTTTATGGATCACGACTATACGCTGACTGCAACGCCGCTAGGTACGATTCTACGACCGATAATTGTCTACTTATGCGACCTAACGTACGTAGAATCGTCGATAATTCTTAAGAGGGTAGCTCGATCCTACATTGTTCACGATGGAATGTTTCTTTCATAAAAAAGAAGTATAAGAATGTAAACTTTATATAATCTTACATTACTTCGTTCAGATGATCGTTCAGCTTTCTAGATGCTAGAGATTCAGTAATAGATTTCAGATGTTGCGTACAGAGTTTCAGATGGACAATTGATGTGACTCATTCTACCAGTCGAGATTAATCTAGAAATTTAATAAACCTACCTATTTCATGTTTTTTACATAGTAAATTGCTCGAGAAAGTTACACATACGAGATCAATCATCGATATCAATTAGCGAACACTGTTAAAAAACCTTAATGATCCATCATAGAAATGTTCCAATACCACGCAAACTTCACTACGGAGATCTATTTCAAAATCCTTGCACAAGAATATCGCGACAAACAGGAAGGACGAGGGAGGAAAAAGTAGCCTCTGGTGACCGAGAATTCGCGGGAGAAAGTGACCGAAATCGAATTATCAGTCAATAGCAAATTATGCAATGGTTGTCGCGGTTGGTTCAATTACATCAGCGAAGTGGGGGACGACGGGATGACGTTCGTACAAAGTAAGCGTCGCAAACAGCTCTCAGGCCCTTTTACGTCGCATATTTACCGCCTATCGAAACTAGGGTAACCGCGCCAGAGAAAGCGAACGATCGCCAGTCAGATAACCGGTAGGCCCGATCATGTGACTACCGTGAAGTTTCCACGGGCCGTGCGATCCACGCCAAAATCGCACGCGTCCACGCGCACACGCCTCTGTCCTGGAACTTGGTACCGACACGAAATCATAGATAGCGATCCAGGGGGTATGATTGCGTTAAAAAAAAACAACGAATGAGCCCTGTTCTTTTCGGGTCGAACGATTTTTACTAATTAATCCATCCACGCTTTTCATCACAGCGTGGATTCCATAGAGGTTCTAGAGCCGCGAGGTGTGTCAATGTTTGTTGGAATAATTATTCATTATTAGTGGGATATTTTAATCGATATGCAATAATTGGCAGGGTAAATATTCGGTCATTTTGTGTATGAGTAATTGACACGCTTCGGTGGAATTAATGGTTCGCTGGACGAAGAAATATTTAACGTACCTCGACAAGATTTTAGTGAGATTTTCAAGAATTTTATTTCTTTGACAAACTTTACCTGAGATGAAGTGAGACGAACAGTTCCAGAAATCTCAAACATTCTAGAACTCTTTAAAACTTTACATTTTCCCCTGCTTAACACAAACAGTTAACCCATTAAACGCGGCAGAATAATCTCATCGTGATCCCAACTGAAGATAGAATTAATCTACGACATTAAGACAAACATCTAATATGATCCACAACAGGCACAAATCATCTCCCGAGACAATAGCGTTGAAATTCAAATTTCCCAATTAGAATTTCAAATCGATCATCAACCGCTTAATCTACAACCGGTGTTACGCGTGTTTTCCGCTGTATCTCGTTTAAAAAATCATTCCCAGCATCGCGGCGTGTATGTATACCGTTTCTGTGGTTGGCCATGTTCGCGCTATTCGTCCCCCCCACGTAAAATCTTCCCACGTGAACCGCGAACGGGAAACGGTGTATCCATATCGCGGCAGATCGACGGGGAAAGTAAATGACGCCCGTGGAACTGGCGTAGCAGGATTAAATAAATAACGCTATCAAGCGTTAGAAGAGTAGAGTGGAGCAAAAGAGCGGATAGAACGGATGGTGTATCGCATGATCGATGAGCCACTCTTCCCCTTGCAGATCCTCTGAACCGAAACGACCCAGAGGAATGTTGCCATCGACCAGCTCACCTGAGGAATCCTTACTGCAACGAGATCCACATACCGGAAGACGATTATTTCTACAGGCTGTTCAACGTGAAATGCATGGACTTCGTTCGCGCCTTTCCAGCCGTTCGACCTGGATGTCGACTCGGTTCACGCGTGCCTTTTAATCTGCTCACCGGTGTGCTGGACGGGAACACGGTCTACGGAATCACGGAAGCCTTCGCCAGGTAAACGCTTCTCTCTCGCGAGCTTAATGTACATTGAAATCGAATGCGTTGGGTGGTCTTTGGAGATGCGAGTCGAGGGTGAATCGTCGTGAAGATGCAACTGAATGGACAAGAACAAGGGAAAGGTTGACACAGTGGAGCTTATTTTAGGGAAGTTGGAGAAACTGGTTTGCAGCTAAATTAATGGTTAAAACGAGAAACTTTGTATTACGAAGTTATTCTGCAGCGATGATTTTTTAATAATTTTAGTAAATAAATGGTTAGCAGAAGTTAATTTTTGTTTTCAATATTTCAGAATAATTAATTTTGAATTTTTTGATCGAAAGTCCAAGAATTTTGACTATTTTGTCAGGATTAATTTCTTACTGTTTGCTTGTTTATTATAATAATCTAAAATAGTGGAATCTTTTGCTCCTCCATCTGACCCGTTCAATTATTGATTTTACTACTGGCTCTGCGTTCGACGAATCGAGCTTGCATTTTAGAGGATTACAGTCTCCAATTTTTTCCCCTCGACGAACGTAATCAACGGCGAAACAATACAACAACAATCTCTCGTGATAATGATAAAACGTGTTCGATAATAATTGAGCCACTTGCAACACGAAGCGATGTCCGCGGTTCGAAACAGCTCAAAGCTTGCTACGTTCGTTACGTCAGTCGGGACAATAAATCAGTATTACGTTGTTCCATATTTTCTAACGTGCCGACTACGTGTATACATTCTGTTCCTCGCACTTTCTAGTCCGCTCGCATTATGAGATCCACTCGATTACTCAATCGAGTACCTCTTTTCTTCCATCGAATTCGATGGTGTTCTCCATCGGCCGAGGGTTGGTGAACTTGTGGAGCTCGTTTTCTGTAATCTCCCTCTTTTTTCGCCTTTCTTTGTCTATTGTCCGATGAGTTACGTTTTCAAATGAATAAGATATGATAGAGACAGCGATAAAAAGCAAACCAAATTTGTGGCAAAAATGTGGCACAATTCATCGAGACACGTTAATTCCAATTTTTCCTAAATTCCCCTGCGAATTTTCCGAATTTTCCTTCAATTTTTTGAACACTCAAAACGCGAAACCGACCGAAATTCGTTGAAAATTAGTTTCCGTGTACTGTGAGGATACGACGAATGAAAGACATGTGCGAAAATGGTGTAAAGTGTTTTTGCAACGGTAGAACGAAGATTTTAAAGATTGTCAATTCGTCGTTTTAACCGCAACCCTCGTAATTTCACGCGGTTAAGAGGCGTCCAGGTTGATTGAAACGCGTCCCTCTTGTTCACACTTCCAGGAAGCTACGAGCCGGTTACGGAGGACTGTTACGCATGAACCCGGTGTTCTCTGAGTATGGCCTGAAGGATTTACTGCCGCTCAAGCTGGACATCCCAGACGAGGGCTGCACACGACCGAATCGATCGATGTACTGCTTCGAGGCGGGTGAGTCTTTCGATGGAAATCTCTCGGTCTATTGAAATGGTTCGCGAATTTCGGTGGTCTGATGGTAGTTTCGATTGGTAGAACGAATTTAACGATCAAAAAATCATCAGCGGTTACTACAGTCTAACAAAGTTCAATCAGCAACCACAATTTCCATATGAATTTCGTAAAAAATAAGAGGTCCTTGCACCGTTCAATTTCAGCAAACAAAAAATAATAGATTTTTACTAACTTGATGAAAATTTCAAATACAGTACTTGGCCATGTCTAAGAATATTATTATAAAAAATCACAGGATCGTGCTTCCGAATGCGACAATTTTTTCAACTCTACCTATTTACGTAGAATTACGAATTCCAATTAATGCACTTCGGAATTTATCAAAAAGAAAATTTGACGAAATGCACGAGCCAAATTGTTGCACGAAATTTTCCAAATCCCTCGATTTCCCATTGCGTAACACAAATGCCCGGTTAAATCTAACAAACGAGCGCAGAAAAAGCTCCGTCGCGGCATTGTAGAACGACGGGGAGCACGATTGCCCGCACGACAACTCAATCAGACGTACAAACGACCGACCGCGTGTGTATCTAATCTCTTCTCATCTCGGAATCGAAACGCCGGCATTGTAAGCGACGAAGGAAAAAGAAAAAAAACCCCTCTTCGATGGTGTACGATTTTATCTGACCCCTGGCATGTGTAGGTACACCTAGTCGGGAAATAGTTTTCCCACGTTTTGCTCGGCCGGTCAGAAAATCGCGAGGTATACTACGGGATAATCATGCGTGTATACGAGACGAAACAATTCTATCGCAACGTACCTGTGCATTAACCTGTATTAGCTTGGTAAAACTGTGATTTACCACGACACCGATCGTTCGTTTAATTTTCCTACACATCTTTGTACCTGCACACCCTATTTTCCGATATTCGTTATCTCCCACGTTCTGCATCTTTCACTATTATTTTTCCTCTGACTATACGTACACTACCGGCCAAAAGTTTGAAATCACCGAGCATTGCAATTTACAGAAAAATTTCCAGAAAAAAGTCAGCGACTTTGAGAATTTTTTATCGTTCGAATCAATTGATATGAGATAAATTGGTAAAGGTAGAATTGAGATAAACGTCAAATCTATCAAAAATTAGCAGCAGATTTAATATTGATGAAAAGTGGGAGGTGATTCCGAACTTTTGGCCAGTAGTGTATACATATTTTTCACTATTTTCCTTAATATTTATATCCTTCCTCTGACTATAGTTATTCTTATTTATCTATAATTCTTTTATATACCCTATCGTTCACAAGTATTTGCCCACTCGTTTATTCAGAGGAATTCAACCAATTTCCAGAAAAGAAATCGAAAATTTAAGTTCGGAAAGTATAATTTCCTCGAAAATTTTTTGGAAGTGACGTGGTGCAAATGATTACTCGGTAAAGTGGGTAACAAAAATATATTTATTTAAACGTAATGCTTAAACTAATTTCAAATGGGAGCCTTTTTCGGGGCTCCCTTAAGTAGCCCCTTTTCCCTGGGAAAGTCCCAGGGCCTGCATTGCCGAGGCGATACTCTTGTCCTCGAGGACGAAGGAACTCGGAGATGTTTGGAAAAACATCTCTCGATTCTTCGCCTCGAGGGCCAAGAGTCGTCAGGCCTAGGTGCGTGGCCCCCTCGTGGCGGTCGCCACAAATTTATCACAATTTTCGATAAAGATGAGAAAGTAAAGAGCTGTGTTTTCACGTGGAGAAATTCAGAGGAAAATAGAGATCGTTCGGATCGATTTTCGGGGGAATTGTGCAAGATTGTGGTTAATTAATAAACGAACTAGGTCACGTGTCGGCCCGGATTACGATGATAATAGCGATCGTATTATCTACAACAGACGGGGGAAAGGGGGAGCTGTGTCGAAATTCGCGTGGAACGTTCGCATTCTGCGCCGTCGAGTCGAAGAACGCCGATAGCCGCTCGATCGGTTCGATTATCGGCGTGTAACGCGATGTGTAAGCGAGAAAGGGAGTGGCCCAGAATCAAGGTCGACGACTTCATTGCTACAATGAAAGATCGGCGGTCGGTGCACTTCGAGCGATTATCGGCGTCGAATTCGCTGCACTCTGTTTCTGTCGTGTTCTTGCCACGTTGTGTTCGCTATATAGATTACCATAGATAGGGTGGGTTACTACAGATTTTGTTACAATTCCTGTTTCCAGGCTTAAAGACTTACAGCTGGAAAAATTGCTTATGGTAGTTCTTACTTCCCGACTTAAATATGTGTATTTTATAAAACACTTGTTGCTTTGTGGCTTAAAGAATTTTACGATCCTCTTGTAATTATTATTTTCCAAGTTGAAAATTTATTAATCTAGTTTTATTCAAATTATCTTGAAAATACTTTTAAAATAATAACTATGTAAACGAAGGAATTAAACACGATAATTTCGATTTCTTCTACTATACCTAAATTAAAGATATTTCTTCGATAACTGAAACACTCATTTTTCCGTGTCTTCCTGAATTCTCTCATATTAAGTACACGATATCCACTTCCTCGAACGAACTTTTTAATTAGCGACGAGCACGGAACATTAGTCATTTTCTCTAAAACTAATAAATAAATAAGGATCGTGCAACTTCGATGTTCAATTAATTTACACCCGAGGAAGTGAAGAAACCATGGGAGAAGAAGTATAGAGTTTCTTTCGAATTGATGTTTATAAACGTCGGAATGCTGTTGCTCCACTTTCCAACCGCGAAAAATCATTCACTTTTCAACGATTCCGAGCAACATTCTTGCCGAATGTACCGTGACTTTTGTCTCCTCAGGTGAGATACGAGTGAACGAGCAGCTGGTGTTAACTTGTATGCACACTTTGATGGCGCGAGAGCACAACAGAATCGCGAAGACGCTCATTCAAATGAATCCCCACTGGGACGACGAGACTCTGTACCAAGAAACAAGACGAATTGTCATCGCTGAGATCCAGCATATCACCTACAACGAGTTCTTGCCTATTCTACTCGGCAAAGAAGTTATGGGGAAGTTTGGGCTGCTTCTTGAGAAGAACGTAAGATCACGTGAATTCTTCTCGTCGAAATATGAAGACGTTTCCTAATAAATTCTAACAATACTAACCCTAAGATTAAATCAAGATATCGAAAAATTTAATTTCAATTAAAAGAAATTTTTTTTTTAAATTAAATACGACATTTCATTCGCGTGCTTATGATCGTTATTTTTCGGGGAGCCTGCATAAATTATTCGAAATTTTTTAATTTTTTCTTGGATCTTCTTAAGATTAATAAGAGATGATTACGGTAGCGAAATTCTACGTAGATTCTTTCAACTATCGCGTATGAAATTTCCTTGAAATGAATTTCACTCCTAAGACGAATCGCTCGCTACTAAGTACTTAGATTTAAATTAATGACCTCTGCTTCCTCTGCCCATAGGCAATATCCATTAACAATACAAGTCTCGTTATTCAATGAGTAGATAAAATTTAATATTGATAACCGTGTACATGTTTAATGTACACAGAGCTACTGGGATGGTTATGATGAAAGCGTGAATCCAGCCGTGATCGATGCTTTCGCTTCTGCAGCCTTCAGATTCGGGCACTCACTGTTGCCAACAGCAGTGGAGAGATGGAGTAAAGCTCACAAATTCATCGGTGAGTTAATCCAATCTTATATGTCGAGTAAAAAAATGAAAAAACAAGCCTCTACAGTTAATTATTCGTCGAATTAACCGTCTCGTTAAAGCTTCGAAGAGACTGTCAGACTTAATCAGAAGACCCTTCGACTTGTACCGAGCTGGAGTTTTCGACGAATACATCATGGGATTGATGAACCAGGTTGCTCAAGCTATGGACGATTCCATCACTCAAGAAGTACACAAATTTTCTCTATAATCAGTGATTATAAAAATGATTTTAAGTCGTACATTTGTTTGTTTCGAGATATTTAGAATTTTCGACTATATTGTGTAAGGTAAATCGACTTGGACCACGTTCATAATCACAAATAATACAGAAAAAATGAAGAATGTTACATTCGCACCGATTTCAGGTAACAAATCACCTATTCAAAAAAGTTGGTGCCAAGTTTGGACTGGATCTGGTCTCCTTCAATATGCAACGAGGTCGTGAATTTGGTATTCCAAGCTATATGGAATTCAGGTTGGCAGACATTGCTTCAAATAGTTCATTTACATATTTAGTACACAAATACTCACGAAACATTACATTTTCCACTGAGCAAGATAATTTATACCAGCTTGTTCGATAATTTCCCAGTGATCTCTAACTCATACGCAACTTTCCATTATCTAATTCTCAGAAAATTCTGCGGACTTCCCTGGGTGGACACGTTCGACGAACTCCACGATTCCATGCCGAACGAGACAATCAGACGCTACAGCTCGATCTTCGAGTGAGTACTATCCCGATATTCCTCTGAAATTACCTATTTATACGTCGACAAACCAGAAACACTGAAAATATTACGCCACGCAACCAGTAGTAAATCAATCTGCAAGAAATCCAAGTTGGACGTTCAAAGGAACGTCGGTAGCCTCGTCAATAATTCAAATCGAATGCTAATTTTAGGCCTGCCTGGTCAGATTATGAATCACCCCGTGCTATTTTACACGTTCACCGATGTCGTTTCCAGAAGTCGAATCGCAGATTCCCGGAAATAACGGTGCGAATCGTCGATTTTCAGGCATCCAGCTGACGTTGACCTGTGGTCAGGCGGTGTCTCCGAGAGGCCACTTCCGGGTAGCATGCTCGGGCCAACCTTCGCCTGTGTAATCGCCACGCAATTCAGTTATTCCCGGCGAGGTGATCGATTTTGGTACGAGCTGCCGAACCAACCGTCGTCCTTCACACTCGGTAAGCAAAACGGACCTTTCGAATCGTGAATCTCGATCGGTAGGGACCAAGGACGCGATTGGAGAACGCGGTGTAACGCGGACGCCTTTTAACGCTCTCGCACTTTCACTTTTCTAGATCAGCTGAACGAGATCCGAAAACTGAAGCTCGCCAGAGTGATCTGCGACAATACAGATTTGATCGACACCATACAGATCTATCCTATGGTGTTGCCCGATCACGAGATGTGAGTAGGATGTTTTGTGGTTTAAGACGAGGCAGGTTGGGTAGAGAGAGATTGGGTATTTCGTTCGAGGAGGTTTGAAATGGTTGTTTAGGTGGCGGTAGGTTGATTCGAGTGGCGCGATTAGTTAATCGTAGCGTGAGAATTGAGAATCGAGGTGGAGGAGGAAGAAGAGCGAACGAAAGTAACGATTAATTGCTTAATTTCGTTGCGAAACGCGAACAGCGCTTGTCTCGTGATCTATACAGAAACAGAGGTTTCAGAGATTTAGCCAGAGATTTATCGAGATCGTAGATTTACTGCAGATTTACTCTATTTTCGTTTTCATTTTTCTAGAATCTAAATTCACATCGCTCGAGATAATTTATCTCGTCTTACCAGCTTGAAATCAACGAGATTTCAGTGATTCCAGGCTACGAAACTAGCAATTCTAAATTCTAAAAATACAGCAGAATAACGTACAGTTAATATCTCACTTCCTGTTAGCGTAGCACAAAACGCCCACTGATAATTCCTCAAGCGAAAGAATTGAATCGTTTAATCAGAGATTCATAAATAACGCAACTGATCGTTCACCTTGCAGAAATCCACGAGTGCCCTGTAGAAGCGGCGTCCTGCCGAGCATGGACCTGAGCAAATGGGCGGAATTCCCGACCGCGAATCACGCGCAATACGTGAGTAATCTAGCGGACCAATACCAAGCATTGGGAAAGTAAAAAGGCTATTTTTTAGACGTAAAACAAACAAAAAGCAAACAAAAAAAAAAACGCAAAAAGCAAACTATTAGAGACCTACCTGCCTAGACGAACACCACCACGTAGTCAACAACAGTCACGAGCCAAGAAGCACAACCCTTAGGCACCCCTTTTAACCGAGACACCTTACGGTACTGTAGCTATAGCGAATAACTATATAGACGCGTCTGCACGTTGCATTACGAATCAGCTTAGGGACACAGAGGCAGACGAAATCGTTAATACAGTGTAGAGCAAATCCGTATAGAGAGAGAGACCCACTTAGCAAACCTTAATTAAATTAGACGAGTACTTTGTTAGAGACACTTAATTTATTGCCACAGCTGGAATTATAATTTACACCTCGACAATCAGTGGGTGTAAATTATAATTTCGTCATATATATATGTGAAGATAAATGATTTTAATTTTAAGAAATTCTACGACGTCTTTGCGATTTCACCAGAATTCTTTTTGTTTGTAATATAGATCTTCCTTGATAATCTGAATGATGACGGATTATTTACGAGGAAGGCGTAGTTACACTTAATTTGCGTATACTTGCCAGTAATTATCGTCGAAACAAGAGAGAGAGAGAGAGAGAAAGAGAGAGAGAGAGAGAGAGAGAAGAGTTGAAGTCGTAGTAGCTGCCAATACACGATATCGTTGCGTAACAAAGTGTACGGAACGGGGTGACGCGTTTACGTAGGAAACGATAATTTCCACGCCGACTGCTTTTAATAATTGCTTTAGAAGTACCTAGTTCAGACACAATAGAGCATTTCAGCCTGTGCCTGTATTACGTTGTTGTGTCACAGTCGAAACCAGTTGCGAATGATTGCACGATTTCTATGGATTATTAACAGGTTGTGAAACGAACGACGCCCTATCATTCAGCTTCCCTCGTTTAGCGTTATTTAGTTCTCTCTGGCCTAGAGTTACCTAATAGAAAAATAGATGTACGCATGTCAGTGTCACGAGGATTATTACGACGACAGAGAGAGAGAGAGAGAGAGAGAGTCACGCGTTAAGGAACCTGTCGAATACTCTAATCTTATATCATTACTGTAAGCAGTCGTATTTTTTTGCAAATTCTAAATTTTCCGCGATTTTCGTGTCTTTAGAAAAGTCTAGAAAGAGTTTCGCGAACTGTCCTCAGAAAAATATTCGAATCGGGAGGATTTTGAAATTTCGAATTTCCCGCCAAAGGTCTTTGCACCTTATCGTTCTGTTAATTTTCGATAGTTTCGCATACGTTCGAAATTGTAGGATCGTCGAGTGTGTACAGTAGTTTAATTCGAAATTGTACAGTATCACAGATACCTAGAGCATCGAATTCGTCGTTTTTATACACTTTTGTACCAAGGATGAAAGATCGCAAACTGTTCCGCCTTTACAGCACGACTGTTAGCACCAACAAAAATTCTCTTCCTTCCTTAATTTATTCCTCGCGCATAGTAACCTACACCCGATGTACATAATAGCACGTAGCAAAACAAAAGGGTTCGTTGCCTCCACGAAATTGCACCAAGGTGGGTAGAGCATGTGTTTTTATCCTTTCATTATTTTTTTCTTTAACAATTGTCCAGTCTTTCCCCTTGTCACGATAAATGCAACTTTTCTTGTTTTTTTTTGGTTCTCCCGTTTGAGATAAGAATGGAAAAGAAAATTACAAAACACAGTCCCTCCCCTCCCCCGAATTGAAAAATTAAACACAGCAACACTGGACAAAGAAAAAAAGAAAAATAGAATAATCGAGAATGCAGAGAAGATCCCGAAAAAGAGTTACACCCCTAAAATATTCTACGAAGGATTTATTACGATGCACTAGCACCTACAAATGTAAACCTATTGTACTATAGCGATTGGTGGAGGAGCACTTGCTTGATGTACCAAGAAGGCCAACGAGACCGGAAAAGGTGCGGAACCAATACAACAGAGAGCAGGTTTTGAGACTCTTCTTTGAGAGCATTAACGGCATTGCTTCGTATCTGGGATTCAGAAAGTAAATCGTGCACCAACAACTGAATAATGGAGCATCAAATGCACACACGAGGGTGAAATCACGAACGAATCTTTGAAACGGTATTACTATATTCAATATACACGTCACCTTTGCAGAAACCGGGAACAAAAGTAAACAGTGCCTTAAAAATCGTATTTAACCAAATTTTCTATAGTAGTCGTATAAACGTGTAGAGAGAGAGAGAGAGAGAGAGAGAGAGTAGATTTAATGTTGTGTACGAAGGGAAGAGAAATAAAATGATTTTCGTTCACCCTCGCACCATCGCGCACGTTCCAGCACTTGAAGGCACACTGTCCCGTGTTTTTACCTCCGACGTTAACGAAACACATTGACAAGTTTAACGATAATTATTCCATATTTCAGAGATACCTATCGCATTACCTATTAAATTAATCGTTCGTTCGGCAGAGATCATTTCCTCTCCTTAATTCGTCCACGATGAAAATGAATTCTAGAATTAAAAAAGAGACAACATCTAATCTGCCAAACGAACACGTAAAGAGAGAGTAGGCACACCTACGAATTCTCGTTAGAGCGTATAATAGATAGTAAGCGAAAACACTGTGCCAGACCACGCTGTCAATGCTGCTGCTGCAAAGGAAAGAAAAGAAAAACAACCTCAGCGAAAGTTTCCATTGAAAATTATCCAAATATACGCAGCGTTAACAGCTTGATCCAGGACACGATCCATTTAATCGTCGAGCCATAAGCAAGAGAGTATCCTTTTATGTGACTCAACGATCGCCTCAGAGAGAGAGTTAACAACTAGTAATAGCGCTGAAACACGTAGTAATTTATATACGATACTATATATACATACATATATATATATACACATATACATCTGAACTTTATATCCGTGTCACTTCTTTCACGTATATAATTTTACTGGGAACCATTACGTTCTTTTTCTACCGTCGTTGTAGGCGTACCACTTTTCCCTCCCTACTTCCTTCCACTGTCTCCCACTATACTGTTTTAATTTTAATATACGAGTAAGAGGAAGGGCGCAGAAGGTGTGGAGCGCGAGTCTAGCATATTTACGGTGAAACAGATAAAACAGAAAAACAAAAAACAGCATTAATTTTTTTTTTTTAGTTCGCTTCAAGTATTATTTGTACTGTTCACACACACACACACACACATAGGTACACACACGATTGTATTATACACGCGTGCACGATGGCTCAGGGAGAAAATGTTTTTCTTCGGGACAATTCTGTGGAAATTGGCCATCTTCTGAGCCGCTGTACACACGCACTCTCACGTATACACAGAGTTACACGCGCGCGCAGAGATATACAGGTACACACAGAGAGTCCCTCAGTTTGTAATTGTATTTTGTACATAATTACCGTGAACGAATAAAGTCACATTAACGAGAGTGCCATTTATGGAACCTTCATCAGTTTTATGAATCTTCCTGTCTTTTTTCTATTTTTTGGTTCGTTTTTTTTGTTCCTTCGGTAAGAACGAGCGATTCGAACGACAGTGCAGCGAGAAACAATGAGATTTAACGTGTTCTGGCGAATATTTCATCGCAGTGAGCTGTACGCGGCGAGAACGTGAAATTTACTACTCACGTCGGCGGGAATGATTTACAAGGTAGTTAAAGACAGCACCCACGTTTCTTGCGCATCGGTTCGTTCGAATCGACTCTCCGTGGAAATTCGCCGTGAACCTTGTACTTGAAACGTTTCATTAACACGTTCTGTGCGGTCTGCGCGATACACCACGGTGTTTTGGAAAAAAGGATGTTCGTCGAATACGAGGTTTGGTGAAAAAAAAAAAGTACTCGGAATGGTGTCGTGAAACAGTCTCGCTGAAGAACGCCTTTTACACGTTTGAAGACACTCTTTGTGGGAATTTTTAGAAATTTCTTTCGTGAATTTTCCTTTGTTTTTAGAGTCGTTTAAAAAGAGAAAATAAGTCACACAGAATCGAGGGAAGTGTGTATACCGAGTAAGAAATGAAGTGACTGAGTTTCGTCAAAAATTGGAATTTGAAAAATCGCGAAGGTAAAACACTTATGAGATACCGAGTTCCACACACACTCCGGGTACTTTTTAATCAACTCTCGTCTACACAAAGGAAGATTAAATTATCAAAAGTTCAATTCTATCGACACTTTTTCTAAATATTTCAACGCGACTCTTTAACTTCCTTTCAATCTTCCGCTGAAACCTGCAATATCCCCGCGTCACAGAACGTGTTAACGTACACGTGCCACGAGTTTCCATTAATCTCGCAAAACACAGTAATTCCGCGATTCTCAAGGATTAAAGTTAGGATAACGGAGATCGAAATTTTCAGAACGCTGAAACATCCGCTACGTACGCCGGACAAATCGATTCGTTTTTAACCGAATGGAGTCCTCCACTGGAGACAGGAAACACCCAGAACGAATTCGTAAAGGTAAACGAAGATTCTGACATCGGAATAAATTTCATTCCTCCAGTTCCTATCGAATTCTTAAATTACATAAACGAGAATTCGAATCTCGTTGCTGAAAGTATAATTTTATCAAACGGCGAGTTGTCGAATGGAGAAACAGGTGAAGGAACGGTCGAAATACTTGAGACATTGAATAATCAACAGAAAGGGACTATGGTCGAACGTTTCAGGCGTTCCTTAGACAAAAACTTGGATTACGTAGGCTTCGTGGAACAAGTTCCTCCGTCAGAGAAGTTCTATCGTCATCCGAATCTTAGCTACGAGGAGCAACAAAAACAATTAAATGGAAATATCGATTCAGAAAGCACGATGAATGGGTTCGATCTGGCGAAAACAATGGCTAGAGTCGAATCTTCCACGAACGAACCGAGGAAACATAATTACGTCCCGGTTTTTCCTAGTTGCAACGATACAGAAAATTTGAAGGCAGATGATGCGAACAAAATTACAGAGAAAAATTTGAAAGATCGAGATAAGATTAGAGAAAATGATAAGAAAGATCCTGCAGGATCCGAGAAGTATAGAAACGAAACGTCTAAGGATATGAATAAGTCGCAGAGTTCGATTAAGCAGCAACGAAGGGATAAGAGTTATATTAATATACGGGATCATCAGAAAAATGCGGAGAACACGACGTCCTCGGATATCCCAGAGTACGATCCAAATAAAATTCCGTACGTCGACGTGCCGGATTATTCTGACATTAGAGAGGAGAGTTTGGACGAGGATGATCGTAAGGCGAGTCTTGGAAAAGAAGAGAAATTCGTAGATGAAGAAAAATCTACAGATCCTAAAGAACCTCCTGAATCTGAAGAAAATAAAAAAGAGACATTATCGAACGATTCGGAGCAAAATTTAAATAGAAGAACTGATTCAGACGTGACAAATCTGAAAACTTGGATAAATTCAGAGAAGCCTTCTAAATCTTCAGATAAAAATAAATATGACGCTAAAAATATCTCGAAACCTTCCAATTTGAAATCAGGTGAATCTGAAGTATTGAAAGACTTCAAGACGATATTGAAACCTACAAAAATCGACGAATCTGGAGAAAACGATAAAGACAAATTACCGAGAGGATCGAATCAGAGACCGAGTTCCAATTTCAGCGAGCAAAAATCGTCAGAAAATTCCGAAGAAGACTCTGCAGAAACGGAACAACAAGGGGATTCCAAGAGCCAATCGGGGCCCATAATTTTCGACATAAACGAGTACAGGAAGCCGTTCGATCTAGACGAATTTCTTAAGGACGATCCGATAATGAAAAAGTTGAAGCTGCTCGAAAAGGAGACGCGGACCAATTACGGACGGAACGGGAAGCGAGTTCCAGGCGACTTCAACGAATCCGAAAGTGATAATGCGTATAGAGAACGAGTAAAGTCGCGAGAGGATTCCATAGAAGCACCGGACACTTTCGACGATCTACCAAAATCTCGCGAATCCGGCGATTTCACCGACGTCCTCGCGAAAATCGCTCGAAACGAAGAAACGAAAAATCGGCGAAATTCCAACGAAGATTTTCCGAAGTTCGCGTTTAAAAAGGACGAGGAGAACGATGCTTCGAAACACGAGGAAGAATTTCTATCGAGATACTTCACCGACGACGCTGTTAGAAATCTACGGAAGAACGCGAGGATCGAAGAAGAAGCTCGCGATCGGAAGGATACGAAGCGCAAAGAAGACGTGTACAACGCATTGTCCACGATCCTGAGCAAGAAAAGCCGTGTTTCGCGGCTGGACGAGGACGATCCAGCACACCGTTACAAAAACTTCTGGTCCTTAGAATATAAATCTCCCCGCAAGAGAGTCGACATGGAGGCGCAAGAAAGGAGGAAATAGAGAGAGGAATACATCGAAATCTTGCCGAGATCTCTTGGTTCGCTGTGACATTCTTGGCTTGCCACGAGAACAGAGATAGAGATGTTACGTTAGGTTAATCTTGAAAGCTAGTCTTCTGTCCGTGAATACTATAGATTAAATATGTAGTTTAAACACACGTCGTTATTGTATGTCTGTTGAATTTTTCGTAAATAAAATGTTGAAATAAAGAAGTAACCTCCTGGATATATTTATTAAATCTAATTTCTACGTTTAGAAAAAACGAAACAAATTAGATACGACAACGATCTATCCTGAAAGAAGAAGCAAAGACAACTCGGTCCTCTTTAAGCAATTCCCACTAAGAGTGCAGGAAATCGAGAAATCGAATTAAGGTAAGATAGGCAGCGGGGTTTCCCTCGTCCGAGGGATGAATCTGGCCTCAACGGATATATAAGGCCGTCATCGTACAGTGCTCAGTGTCATTCGTCTGGTTTTATCAATTCCAGCAACCTCGGCTCGATCCAACCGCCAGCAACAAGGTAAATACGACACGTACACGCCGGATTCGATAGAGAAAACTCGCTTTTCGTACAGCCGATCACCTCGTTTATCCATTTCCACCTGAACCGTATCTTCGTACACCTTACGAACGTGTAAGTACGTTCACCGTGGACCGAAACAAACGAGACCAAAGGCACACATCCTGATCCATTGATCCGTGATATTAGCATTCGTTTCCACGATCGATCGTGCGTTAACATCGGCCAGAGACAACGATCGATCGGTTGCTCGGTCGATCCTTGGTCTTGAATCTTCAAGTGCTTCCTGGAGAGAGAGGACGAAAGGAAGAAGGAGACGAGAGCACGGCGAGACGAAGAGATAAGAGACACCTTCCATCCATATTTATTATCTTTATGTGTTCACAATGTGGCCGTTAAGGAGAACGCGGAAGCACGATCCCGGGAGATTCCGGTTATAAATGACGATGTGTATAATGAAACTGAGAAGAAGAAGAAGAAGAAGAAGAAGAGAAAAAAAAGAACGGAGAAAGAGAGAGAGAGAGAGAGAGAGAGGGAGAGAGGGAAAAAAAAGGTGACCACCGATGTAGCCGACAAGCTTGAGCAACATATACATATACATATATGTATACATACTGTACACCTGAGCAAGAGAGAGACGATTAGCCGCGGGCGATTAAATATCGACTGTTTGCGGAACAGAAAGGATAATTTCGGACTTATTTAAAACAGTGGGCAACACGTCGCGTCGGTGTCGCGTCCGCGATTCTTGCCTCTGTTCCTGTCGGTCCACCAACGCACTCGACCGCCTCGACGACTTCGGCAACTTCGCGCGTTATCCCTGAAAGTTCATGGATTTCATTCCACGTCTCTCTCGGCCACGTTCGTCTCTCTGTCTTCCTTATCGACTACTTGCCCGAGACCGGTAATTAATCGAGGAAAGTGAATACGATGTCGAAGTGGCTTTGAGCCGTGCATCCTGCCAGAGGCTAGAGCACGAGTCTGCCTCACTGTATCCTGTTAGGCTTCTACATTCACTAGGACTCGCGTTCTATCGGATACAGGTGTCTGTTTGTGTGTTTTTTCTCTCGTTTATATCACGTAAGAGCAAGAGCTGATGAACGATATCGAGCATAGCTATCTCACCGATGCCGTAGATCCTGTTGGGTTCTTTTGTTTTCGATCGAGTTAGGTATTCCGAGACGCAGTTTCGCGATGATGCTGCCATTGATATCTCCCGTTTCGAGTGAAAGTGTTGCTTATGTTTGAACAGTGAAGAGCAATTTATCATCATTTTTGATCGTTTTCGAAGTGACCCCGATTGAAAAGTTTCGATGTAGAGAATATGATAAAATCGATCGAGTTTTCAATTTTAGCCGGGTAAAAAGAGGGTTGCTCGCCGCTGTGTTAGAAGGGGTAATTAAGGACTCGATGTAATTGTTCGTTGTTTGTTTCAGTCATGAACATGTCAACCCGCATTATTTTGGTGCTCTTCGTAGCCTACGCTATGATGTTCATGTTCACTGCGGGAGCGACAGCCTTCGATCGAGCGATAGGTAAATTTCATTTCGAAAGAAACACTCATCTATTAACCCTTTCGTTACCAGTGGGACTCGAACAAAAATTCATCTCAATTGAGTACCCATTACACACTCACGATGATCATATCAATGATCGTTAGATTTCTCCAGAATTCAACGTTTGACAAGGTGTTTATAATTAATGTTCCAGGCGTATGTATCAGAAACTGCGCCCAGTGCAAGAAAATGTTCGGCCCGTACTTCCTGGGACAGAAGTGCGCCGATTCCTGCGTCAAGTACAAAGGAAAGCTCATCCCCGACTGCGAGGATGAGGTTTCGATTCAACCATTCCTCCAGGCGCTCGACAGCGACTATTAGATGCCAATCGACGTAAAAGTTCCTCCTACCTGTTCGCGTCAAGTATACGTAATACGTGCCAAAAGTATGTGTCGCCTGAATTCGCAAATAGAAAGTTTGATTGATGCTAGAGGACCTGGCGTGATTAGTCTATATGTACGCGATGTGTTGTAGTGTTTCTTTTTTTTTCTTTTTTTTTATTAAGTGCGGAGTATTACTTAATTCTTTTGTTATAATCAATTTTTCGTCTCGACTCAGGGAGACAATCGTAGTTGCGACAAATTGGAACAATTTGATCTCGTACCTCACATATGAGTATTATTTATCTTAGACGTATTTATTATTCCAAGTATTAGTAATAAGATATTCTTGTGCTTTCTACGAAAAGCATTCCAAAAGAGAGAAATTTGATTTGGGAGCAAAGAAAGGATCTCGAAACGAGATTCTGCGTTGCTCGATTTGTCGCAGACGAAAAGAATAGCAGACAGCAAATGCCAGTTCGCATGTTTTACTGCTGTCTTCAACGAACAAACGAACCATTCGAAATATTTTACTCACCGGACGTTGTTTATTCCGGAGTGGGAGGCGTTACGTGGCACTCTGGTATCGTAGACAATGTCTGCCTCGATTCTAGTTGCTGTACCTGAAAATTATGTAAGTTTCGTCACACTGCGCTCTCTCTCTCTCTCTCACATGTATTTTTATTTGTTTGTTTGTATTTTTCTCAACCTCGAGTATTTCTCTTTGTTTACATCTTACGCGCATAAAAATGTATATTTACACGTTGCCGAAGAGTTTTCTCGTTCACGGCTGCTCTCGATAATAAATGTTTCACTTTGTCTAGAAGATCGGATTTCTGGATCAATTGCTCCCTCAAAACCTTCATCTCGCCGTTGTCATCCTCCTTCTGAACCTTTTCTAACGCGTTTACTCTTTGCTCGGCTAATTGTAAATCGGTCTCCAACGCCACAACGCGTATCTGAGCTTCCTCGTAATGCTTTTGCAATATACTCTCACTTTGATTACCTGATAATTTACCCTACGCGTGAAATTAACGGGACATTATTAACAGGAACAGCTAAGAAGGTAGAGAAAAAATATGACAATTTCGTGCCTGATGGATAAAATTGTTCTTTTTCGTGCCAAGTTTCAGGCGTTTGTTCTCCACTTGTAGCCTCTCGATGATTCTTTTCAACGTGAAAATTGTCTTCTCCATTTCTAAGACCGACTTCTTCGAACCGTTATCCTGCAAATCTTTGTCCGACGATCTCGGGGTCGAGTCAGACGATTTTTCTATTTTCAGTAATTCTATGTATCTGTGTACGAATTAAAAAATAAACCACCAAACCTGTTATCTATATTATTTCGTTGAATTCTAAGAAACCTACTTTTCTAAATGTTCAACCTTCTCCCTCAATCTTGGCGTATCCGCGTTCGCCTTTTCCAATTCGAGGCGGAGCTCGAAGTTCTCGGCTTCCAGCGCTAAGTTCATTTTCTCCATGATATCTTTCGTCATTTCTAGCTTCTCTAATTGAGTAACAACGTAACTGTTACCCTACGAAACATCGACAAACGTGAGAAAAAGATCGTCGAACGAGCACATCATCAACCTAAGAAACTGACCTGAGAAACGATCTCTAAAGCAGCGATACGTCTCTTTTGCTCGTCGATTTTCAGCAAAAGTTTCTCCTTGTCCTCGTTCTCCAATCTATCAGACAGCTCTTTGATACGTTCGCGTAAAATCTGACACTCCTTCTGAAGCTCCTCCATCACGTTTCGTTGAGCGTTCGTCATTGGCCTGGCTGACAAGCCTCCAGCTATCGCGTTGTTCTCCAACTTCAGCTTGCTCTTCAAGTACCATTTCTCTCTCTCCATGCACGAAACCACGGATCTGAGTTTGTCGTAACTCGACTGCAATTTCACGTGTTCCTCCGTCTTCTCTTTCAGCTTCTCCTTCAATTTTTCCGCCGTTTGTTGCCACTTCTTCTGCTTCTCCCACAACGAAAGTTCTTCTGCGGTCTAATGTGACGAATTTCAGGATTATTACGTGGATGTTCACGGGATGGGATGTGAGGTGTTCGATGTACCTTGGCCTTTTTTGCCTCCTGAGCTAGATACTCGCGATCTAATTGAGCTCGAGCTTTTTCCAACTCTTCTTCCAGAGATTTTACTTTGCGCTCGAGCTGGGTCTCGCGCTGCGAAGCTTTCTTTTCTTGCGTCTTCACGGCCATGTATCTATTACGAAGGCGATTCGAAAGGGTAATTAAAGGGACGAAGACAGGTTAAAGGGTCTCTGAGGTTTCTTGCAATTTCGTCTTCACGTGATTACTTGGTTAACTTACTTAACCCATTATTTTGCCAACATATTTATTAGCGCCTATTTTTTTCTCTTAAAGTTTAAGTTACAGTATTAACTATACCTACGATACCTCGCTAAAACTAACTATACCTTCGTTATTCCGTTATCGAAAAAATACCTGCGACTAAGTTGATGCTTCAAATCAGTGATCTCGTTTTTGTACATTTTCTCCTTTTCCAGCAACGCCTGCAACTGTTTTCTCACAGAGTCCGTGTGTTGCTGCGATTGATCGCGATTCAGATTCTGCGTAATCTCGTGAATCCTCAACTCTGACTCGCCGTGAGTTATCGCGTGTTGCATTCGAGTTCGATTTGTTGCTGCAGATTCCATTAACTCGACCTCGTTCTTCGTTTCAAAAATACCAAGAATTTATCCAAATTACGTCCAACAAATTTCCAATCATTTTCAAGCACCTGTAATACCTGCAACTGTTGACAAGCTAAACTAAGCTGATGAATTTTATCGTCCCTTTCCTGCATCTCCTTCATCAAGGAAATGTTCCCTTTAGTGACCAACATACGATTCTCGGATAATTGTTTTCGCAACATTTCAGCCTCGGTTTGCCATTTCGAGACTTCTCCGCGATAACTTTCCAGCTCACTCTTGTGTTGCTCCTCTAATCTACGTGAAAATTCAGCATTTCAATTCTTCAGTTTCTTCAGGAATTCGGTAACTTACCTCTCCCTCATACGATCCATGTATTTCAGTCTCTCCTCGGCCAAACGATGCCAACGATCGCTCAATTCCTTGGTAATATTCAAATCAGCCTCCAGAATAGAGTTCTTTTCCTGCAATCTAGCAACTTCTTCCACCTGCATAGCGTTATTCTTCACGATTGTATTTATGGACTCAGACTCCTGCAGTTTCACGATTAACTTCTCTGGTTCAGCTTTCTTGGAATCTTCTCTCCGCTGAATTTCTTCAGCTTCGTTCTGCATGGATTGAAGACGACTATGCAAATTCTTGATCTCTTCCTGCAAACGAGCTGCAGCTTTGCTGTGTTCGTCTCTGTCCTCTTTTAGTAGATTTTGGTATCTAGTTATGGTTTCTTCTTTTTGGCCAAGCAATTTCTGCAAGCTGTTGATCGTCGATTTCAAAGCTAGCTTGTCGCTGCACTCGTTGCTGGGAAATTGCAGTTCAGGCGAAGGCTTGCGCTCTTCGAGCAGTTTATCTTTTTGAGTTAATTGCAGATCCTTTTTAGTTAACTGCAAATCTTTCGTTTCTATGGTTTTCTTCAGGGTCTCTACCTTTGCTTGGCACTCTGATATTTGTAACTCGTATTTAAGCAACGTGGAAGATCGTTCAGAGGCGAGTTTCAGAGCCTGGTTCAATTGCTCTCGAAGCAAAGAAGCTTCTTCTTCGTCGTTGTCCTTTTCTTTCTCCGATTCCTTTTCAGAGTGTTTTTCTTTGTCTTCTTCTCTCATTTTTTCTTCCAACTTCTGATCTTCCTCGTCGCTCTCTCTGGTCGGAGTCATTGTTTGAATCTCTATTTCACTCGTTTCCTTTTTATCCAAGCAACAAGTGTAAGGATCTGTTTGTATTTCTCTTGGATTTGTCTCTACAGTTGCTTGAGCTGACGTGTGCTTGTTTTCAAGTAACAGAGGACTGGTTGAAGTGTTTCTAGTGACAATTTTGGATTGCTGATCTGGTCCTCTGTTCCATGTTTTTTGAATCTCTATCATATCTTGCTCCATTTGAGTCACGAGAGATTCGTATTCTAGGAATTTGTTGTTGGCGATTTGTAGCTCGTTCTCCAGTTGAGTTATCTTTCGCTTGTACTTAAAGTCCTGGTTAATTGTTAACAATAATTCAGCAAAGCAATTTTATTCTAACTACACTCGAAAAATTCGATAGAAAAGAATGAAAACGTTTAAAAGTTCGATGGAAATTTTATTACTCGTAAAGAATAACATTTATGAGGGAATTAAAGTGAAAAGTATTAAATGAAATGTGCAAGATTTGAAGGAAGAATGAATTTTGATGAAAACTGAGTAAAAACACGTACATTTAAAGTGTATTGAGAGTATTCTGAAAAGCGTTGCATGATATCCTGCACACTATTGCTTCCAATCTGTTGTTCTAGTATATCTTTCAAGCTTTCGACAATTTGTAGACGATTAGTTAGCATTTCCTGTTGCTGCATAAGATTTTTCGGAATCGATGTTCTGACGCTCCTCTTTTAATTTCATCGACAGTGATGCTACTCTATCTAAAGCACTAATGGAAGTAGAGCCTGCATACTGACTTTGCAGGAATCCTATTATATCTACGTACATTCTGCAAAGAAATCCTAGTTAACAAAACACTCGTTCCCAAAATACAAACGCAAAATAAATCTTTCAAACGAGAATTCAACAATTCGGTCATCTCGAGGGTATTTATGCAAAAAAATAAAACTTGCAATCGAGAGAAATTTGTTAATTTCACAATTCAAAGGTTTTTCACGCAAAAAAAAATTGCGATTCAGGTTAAAATTTAAAGCGCATCCAGAAAAATTTACGAATTCCCCGAAAAATCGAGTAATTCCCTAAAAAAACATTCACCTGCAGCGATTTTCGCACTGTTTCCGACAATCCTGCACGTAAACGCGCAATCCCTCGCAGGTCGTTCTCGATTTGTCGAGCTCCTCTTGCAGGCACGAGACCTCGTTCTCCAGCCTAACTTTCCGCGTGCTCAATTCCATCTCTAACAAATTTTTACTAGACAACTCGAAGTCCAGTCTCGAGATCGTAGCTTTGTCTTCGCTAACCGCCTGCAAGTTCAATATTTGATGCCTAAGACTGTCCAATTCCAATGTTTTCAACGAATTCAGCGAATACTGCTGTTCAGCTTCCTCTCGAGTAATCTGCAGCTGCTTCTTCAACTTCTCAATCTCTATCTGAAGCGTAGCGTTGTTGTCCTTCAATTCCTGCACCTTGTTACCGTCCAACTGCTCGGTCTTCTCGAATCGCGCATCCTTCGACAATCTTCTATGCAAAACAATCAATTCTTCTTGCAACTCAGACTTTGCGGCAACCACTTCTTTCATATTCTCCTCGCATTTCGTCAACTGAGCCTGCAAAATCTCGTGCAAACTTGTCACATGATCAGCTCGTTGCTTCTCCAATAGCTCCCTCGTTTGAGCTTCCTTCAATTGTTCCATCAAATCTTCGTCGCCTTTGCGAGCAACTCCTTTTCGTGAATGTTCCAGAAGCTCATCTTTCTCGCGTTTCGTCGATTCTAGCTCGTTTCTCAGGCTCTCTACCTCGTTGTTAGTTCCGAGTATCAGATCATTCTCCAACAAATTACGAAAACGTATGCTCAACTCTTCGTGTTTCTCTTTCAACTCGCTGTAAACGGTGTAGCTGACAGAGTTGAGTAGATTACTCTGCACCGTTGAGATTTCACGTTCGAGGACTTTGTTGTGCTTGCTGGAGTCAGCTAGAGAATTTCTTAAGTAGCTTTCGTTCTTTACAGCTTCTTTCTGATCGCGATACGCTTTCGTGGTTTCTTTGTTCAGCAATTGTTGAAGCGCTACGTTCTTTCTATTCGCGACCAAAGCATCGCTGGAAGCTTCCACGTATTCTTTGGTTTTCATAACGAAAGCTCTTCGAATCTCGTCTTCGCCTTCTTCCAATATTTTCGCACTTTCCTCGAAAACTTCGAGCTGGTGTTTCAATTTTTCGACCTCGTTTTTCAGTTCGTCGTTGAGGTCTGTTAGGGAAGCCTTTTGCTTCTCCCATTCCTCTGCCTCGTTCTTATACGCCTCTTGCACATGTTTCAGTTCTGAGAGGCACATCGTTACTTTCTCGCTGTCGGAGTCGTCGATGTATATTTTTTCGAGATCGCCGTGCTTGTTCAGAGCTAGCGCGTGTAGTATGTTATCCTTTCTTTGCAATTGTTTTCTGTAATTATTTGCAACGATGATCATTTGCCTGCTGAGTATTCATCTTGCCTAGAAGAATCCACGAAATTTCGAGAATTAACGAAGCTACCAAAAACGAGAAACGAGTGTTCTTCTCTTTACCGTATTTCAAGTTTGAAGGGTGAAATTGTTGCAAGAAAATATTGGAACAACCAAATTATGGTAACTGAGGTAACTCTACCTCTGAAAACTAAAATCCCTTGTTTCTAATCATTTTCAAAGTGTTACATATTATATTCAAAATGTTCAAAGCATCAAATTTTGATAATCGAGGGTAATTCCACCCCTCGAAGTTAGAATTTCGAAAAAAATTAAATACCTTGTTCCTGACAACTTTCAAAGTATTATCTATTATCTTGAAAATATTTAAATCTGAAAATTTTGATAATTGACAATAATTTCACTTCTGAAACTTAGAATTTCGAAAGAAAATTGAAATCCCTTGTTCCTAATAATTTTCAGAGTATTATATACGATATTCGAAGCACAAAATTTTGATAATCGAGGGTAATTCCACCCCTCGAAGTTAGAATCTCGAAAAAAAATTAAATACCTTGTTCCTAACAACTTTCAAAGTATTATCTATTATCTTGAAAATATTTCAATCTGAAAATTTTGACAATTGACGATAATCTCACTCCTCAAGATTAAAGTTTCGACAAAAATTGAAATTGTGAAAAAACTGATATCTCGATGTTTCGCGGATTTCTCTAGCAGAATACTAAAAATATACCTCAACTGTTTCAGTTGACCCCTCAATTCGGCATTACTGCCCTGCAAAACGTTCAAATGCTCCTGCAATCTCATTGCAGGGTGATACCATCCCGCTAAATGTCTCACATCTAACGCCTCTAACAACCTCTCTAACGTGTGAGACTGTATTTCCACGGTACTTGTACCTGAGATATTAAGCAATTAATTACGCGTCCACTTTGCACGTGCAATTTCGACTTGTTTTCTTTTCTTACAGACAAAACCTGATACAATGTACAAACGTGTGTTAGTATTCGTGTCTCTGACAAAGTACTACGTGTGTTAATTAAAGGCGGAAAAATTCGAGACAGAAAGGAGGAATTTCGTGTGGAAAGAAAAATGAAAAGATCGGTGCATCGTTGAAGTACCATTAAAATTAGCGAAAATTCACCATCTTGGTTACGTATACTGTCCAAAATTTCGTGCATCCCTGTCCTAAGTGCTTCGTTCTCATCGACGACCAACTGAACATTCTCCTGCAGCTCGGAAATATTCATTTTCGACGGTAATTTAGACGTAGGCTCCGTTAATTTCGTAGAATGAAAAAATTCGGTTGTGCCGTCGGTGACGGTATCCGAAAAATCGAATTCCTTCGGCGTTTTGCTTATCTTGTACTTCAACACTCTCATCTGAAACGTGAAATCCAAGAAGAAACTTCGCTTCACGTGCGAAATTTCAAACTTTCGTTAGCACCCCTTACGTCTGATTTTAATTCTAAATTCTCCTCGACGAGCATCTTGTTCTGCCGCAAAAGTTCCTCCAAATTTCTCTCCAGCCCTTTGCGTTTCGCCAGAGCGTTCTGAATCGACACGGATTCGTCCTCTGGTATGCCCAATTTTTCTCTACGGTTCACATCGCCGCGGTAAATGCCTTGTGTACGTTCGAAAGATTAGTTCAGCACGCGTATAGTTACCTAAGAGTTGTGATTTCCATTTCCTGATACGAGTTCAACATTTCTAATTTGTTCACTACGTTAATCAGCTCTGTTATGTGCTCGTTCTTATCCGTTAAAATGCTCTTTAGCTCCTTTATCTCGTTCAACGCGTCCCTCAAACCTTCGTTCTCGTCCTCGTATATTCTCAACGTTCCTAACACTTCGCACAGCTAAATAGGGAAGACAGTTTAAGAATCTAGCAAAACGAACGACGCGTTTGTCAAACGGAAAATGTCTATCGGACTGACTTTGCCGCTTCTCAATTCAGCATCCTCCTCTGCTTCGTTCAATTTCATTTGCAGCTTAGATATCTGCTCGTCCGCGTCTTGCAACTTTTTTAACAAACCTTTGTACTCTTTCTTTTTGTCGACTTTTCCCATCCTGGATGAAATTTCGTTTCGTGAAATGTAACATTTCATAAAGTATGATTTCGCGAAACGAGATGTTTCATTTCTTTTTCTAAACGTAACGATGTAATTACATACTTTTGCATGCCTCGTTTTAATTTCTCTATAAGAGTGGCGCTTTCGTTGATCTCGTCTGTGGCTTCGGATAATTTCGTTTTCAACTCGGCTATGACTTTGTCACGACGATCAATTTCCTCGTTTAAGTGAATAATTTCAGATTTGCTCTGCTCTTTGGCCGAGGCCGCGGATTGTACAACTGAATGGGACAAAGTTTCCCTCAGCTGCACAATTTCGGCGTCTCTCTCGTCTAATATTGTCTATGAAAGTTTCGACGGTATTAAAACGTCTGAGAGTTTGTATAATTTCAGTCGAAACTAGTTTAAACAAAATGTACCTTCCATTCGTTAATTCGAGTATCAATTGCAGTGCTAAATTCGTCGATCATTTTATCCCTATTCGCCTGCTGAGCTGATACTTCCTCAACTTGAGAAACTAACGCGGAATTTTCACGTTCTAAGTCGGATATTTTCTCTGGAAAAATGCGCTAATTCAGTTGGACTGTGGAGTCCTGTGTGATTGTAATTGAATTACTTTTTAACAACCTTTGTATTCTACGGATTTAACTCTAGTTGAACCTAACTCTTCGGTCATTTCGTTCATTGTTTGTGTTGCATCTTCCATTTCTTCGGTTAATGTTGATAGTCGTTCTTTTAGAATTAAATTGTCCTTCTCTAAAGCCTGGAGAGTGTTGCAAGTACGAACAAAACATTCTAAGGAAAAGTCTAACTACCTAAAACTCACCTCTAATTCTGACATTAGAATTTTGATCTTTTTATTCTTCCCTTGCAACGCGTCGTCGTAATCAGGACCCTCAGACATGTCTACGTGCTTGAAATAACAATATAGACCATTTCAGAAAATGTGTTACAAGTGTATCTACGCTAATCAATCTACACAACCTATGGAATATCTTACTTTGGATAAATCAGTGATATCGTGCTTAGAACCGGGTGTATCCCACTCTATCGTATGAATTAGAAAAGATTTTATAACATGTATTAATTTAAATACACTAACAAAACAGAATTGAAAATTGTTTCCGTATATTAAACGCAGCCTCGAGCGAGGCACGCGCATTTTACCTTTTCTTTTACGCTTAGCAGGTTCAGGTTTTAAAGAAGTAATGGTTTGTTTTAATTCACCACACTCTAGGAGCAGTGATTCTACCTATTTTGGGAAGAAATTGCATAATATCATGATGAAACAGTAATATTGCTAATCTATTAAATATGCCACTAAATTGAAATAGGAAGTACGTGACGATAGAAGACTAAGAAAGCATACTGCTTTTTATTAAGTATAACAATCGTACGAGTAACAATGAAATGTTCTACAAGGATGTGTTTGTATAAATAAAAATTTTAGCTGACTAATTTTACTTGATTGTCTTTGTATTGCAGTATTTCTTGGGACAGTTTCATCAGAGTACGTAGGTTATGTACATCACTAATCTCGTCGACGTCGCAACTGATCATTGCGGGATAGAGATCTTCCATGTCATCGTCAGTCAACGACGATGGATCCGCGGACAGTATTCGATCCCAATCGATACGTCCCATTTTTCCCGATTTTTTACCACCAATTAAACACTAATCTAACCCCACTATTTCAGAATAATCGCTTTGTTTGACGTTTACCAGTGACGCTTGCCACTGGTTGCCATGGAAACTCTGTTATGAGTCTCCGTGCTGCCATCTAGCGGTTAAGCTTGCAAAGCAATCGTACTATGGTAAGTACGTTCAAACTTCAATAATCTTGAACGTTCCATCTTTCAAATTTCAACATTCGATATGAAAATTCACTCTCGTCAGATTCGAAATTGTAAACAAATACACGTCACGGATTTTATTATTAATAACTTCTGCCACACATGACTCACAGTGCCTGTATTACGTAAGACTGTTACGACAATCGAAACACTATCAAACGATGCTTCCAACAAACAAGATAATAATTTACAGAACTCGTGTAACTTCTACCATTTATTTATTAAGAAATTTAAAAAACCTCGACGTTCTACCGTGATTGATCATTTATTTAAACTTCGAACAATGATTACATATCGAACAGTAAAGAACATATGTTACATCAGTACACATGTTAACACTAGATAAAGCAATGCTCTCCTATGATACGAATAGACGAAAATAAAAATGTATTTAGATAAGGCGGAAGAGAGAAATAGTAGGGGAACATACTGAAAACAACTTGGAAATATACACAAGTACGTCTCTCGCGTACGATCTCCACGAACATCTCTCGATGTGTGTACACATACGCACACGTATGCGCTGCGCGTGTATTTCGGAAGTTAAGCTGTTTACGAAATTGGCGGTTAGGTCGAGCACGGGGACTCGCGCGTTTTAAATTACGATATTGTATGTAAATCTTGGTGAAAATATTAAAGGCTACTCATTATCGCCGCGCTCCTCCGACCGACATTTCTTCGCGATGATACTCAGTAAATTGTCTACGCGACTGCTGAACGCTAGTGCGTCTCTGGTTTTCAATTCTCAGAACAAATCTGTGGTACGCGAGCATGTCAGGTGGATACAGTTCACGTATTATACCGACAAGAACAACGACGTCACCGGTAAGTACAGTTTCACGTTTCAATTGTAACCCCCAGTCGATTAAAAATATACTTCGCTTTTGCGGTACTTATTCGAGAAATGAAATATTGATTTAAAAAAGAAGAGCTCTTTGGGTAATTTGTTACGTGTTGAAGGTAAAGTTGTAATCTTTAAATGTAGAAGAGGGAAAAATTGTTTTACGTAGAAAAGACCGATTGAGATAATTCGTTTAAGAGAAGACATCGACAGAAGATATAAGCTCTTTGTAATATGTTCTCCTGTTATAGGTAAGACTGAAAAGATGAATATGTATCAAGCAATAAACAATGGACTTCGAATTGCGATGGCAAAAGATCCCGATGCAGGTAATAAAAAATGAATTTCCTTCGTTGAACGCGATGAATAGAATTACGGAATATTTGCAACGTAAATGATACCAGTTCTTCGTAAAAAAACAAATTGTTGGATTGAAAACATTGTAACACGTAGAATACTGACTTTTTCCACTACCTTACTTTTTTATCTTATCTTCCGAAAGTGTAAACGTACTAAACATTTTAATACATAAATCACTCGCATTAACAAGCGGAATGTTCCAATAGGTAATAGTTATGTATCTACACAAGCATTTTTGTTCGTATTTAGTGATATTTGGCGAGGACGTAGCGTTCGGAGGCGTATTCCGTTGTACGCTTGATTTGCAAAAAGAATTCGGAAAAGATCGAGTTTTTAATACGCCACTTTGCGAGCAAGGTATCGCTGGTTTTGGAATTGGTTTAGCCACTATTGGTGTTACAGCGATCGCGGAAATTCAATTCGCGGATTATATATTTCCAGCCTTCGACCAGGTACTATCATTTTCTAAAACATCGACCACTGATTTTTAGAAATACGAAGATTTCTTTTAAAGGTGTCTAGACTGTGAATTTTGCGTTTAATTGAAGATATCTTATCTGTAGTTGGTAAACGAAGCAGCTAAATTGAGATACCGAAGTGGAGGAGAGTTCGATTGTGGTAAATTAACAATTCGAGCTCCTTGTGGAGCTGTTGGTCATGGTGGACTTTACCATTCGCAAAGTCCAGAAGCTTATTTCGCTCATACACCAGGTTTGAAGGTATGTGAGGATAATAATTCGATACTTCTTTTTAAGAAAACGATAAGCAACGTAGAGAATACAGCTTCAATATCGAAAAGAATCGTGGAAACCGTTTTGAAGCTTTCAGTTACAAACAGAATCTCTAATGGCGCGTCAATTTTGTACCACCGAAAATTAGATTTGAATTTTTACCTTATCACCGATGATTCAGCAAAAAACAACGTATCCAATTGTTCCTGACACAAATGGGAAGCACTTAAGACACATTTTAGCACTCACGCACTCAAAATTCGTATTGAAATCATACAAAATCGCGACGCACGGTTTAACGACGTTCCTCGGAGAAAAATCCCGCGCTTTACTAATTTGCTACGGGTTCACTTTAGTTAGAGCGAGAAAGACAACGCTGATTGGCTGCTGTATTTAGTTGAAGCGAGAAAGACGACGCTGATTGGCTGCTGTACTTAGTCAAATGACATGCGATTAATTAAAAATTTTTATTATATTTTCATTTTTCCTTGAATTTCGTAGAGAAAATGTCACTGAAAATTTCTGTTTCAATTTATTAATTTTTTTAAACAAGGTGAAACAATTACTTAAACGTTCTTTGCGAAAAAGTAATTTCGCGGTTATACGCACTACCGGAAGTCACTGTTTCTATTTCTATTCAAATAAAAATATTTAAATTCGATAAATTTAGCAAATTAACGCACGAAAAATCACTTCTCTACCTAAAATAATCCATAAAAAATTATGGTGTATTTAATCATCGAATTAATCGTTGAATTAATTTCCTCGAAAATTTTATTACGTCGGTAAGTGTCTGCAGTTACAACATTTACCATTTCTACTTTACCATTTACAACTTCTCGAGCTTACTCTTTAGCTTTCGTCGATAATTCATATCTCGTTCGTTCTTCGATAGATGCCCGTACTGCATATAATTTCGCCAGAAAGTATTGAACCATCGAATACAATAGATCAATGATTCAGAAAGAAACAAACTGCGTTCAATCAATCATACAAAATAACGTCCCGTAAGTCATCTCGTTTTTCCATCGAATCGCCTCACGATCGAGAATACTTTTGCAGAAATCCACGATCGTTCGACGTTCATTTACGTTCGAATTCTAAATTAAACAGTTGCGAAACGTAGTAGCAATGAATAAATAGGAGCGGTGGAAAAACTTGAGCAAGCATCGCGAACGAATTTCTATGCACAAGGATATCCTTCATCGACGATACGCTTCAGCTCTATAACCATTGGCTCTTAACTTTCTGGAAGAGATTCCATGAATATTGCACGACACATGTACTCTACGTATGCATGAGGAAAGTTTTCCTCGTACACTAACGCGACGCTACCGGCACTATACATCTCGATTACATGAACAGCGGCGCGCAACATCGCGTCGACATTTCCTGAAGCTGAAAGATCGCACGGTTCGACACAATATAACCAGGCGTGGAAACGAAGCTTGGAACGTAATGAAACGTAGCTGCACGTACGTACACTATCGCTCTCACCTGTTCCGTGCAATATTTTTCATCGAACTTTGAATTTCATTAACCAAAGTGCACATTGTCTAATATTCCTCTCGAGTTAACCAATTCGTCTTTGCTTTCTGCTGCTCTCGTCGTTTCTAGGTTATGCGAAGATGAGATAGAATTCTAATCGAATTTGACGAGACATTCTTTAGAAGAGTCTCGTTCAACTTTTCGGAGAAGAATATATTTCAGGTAGGAAGGAAAGACGAGAAAGGGTTGAATTTATCGTTTTTCCTTGCGTTTTAATTATATTTGGTGAAACAGTGCTTCAGGAATTTTCCGAAGGGGGAGTATTATTACGAATGTATATAGGTGGGAGTTGAAATAACGGTAGGGACATTTTGATAGACGTTTCCAAAGGAAACAGATCGTACGAGGTGGCCCTGTCACATAGCCACTCGCTTCCTTCACTTTAGTCCTTCGAATTTCTTCAGCTACGTTTATTTATGGAGCAATGCTCATCAAAGTACGATGTAGGCGCCTGCAAAAACAAGGGAAAGGTTCATTTATCACCACGTTCGTAACGAAATTGAATCAATTTCAGCCTAAATATACCCGGTGAAAGGCCGAAAATAAAAGGCACACGTTTCGCAAGAAGAACGCTACCCGTGGCGATTCGTGACACTTTTCGTAAAAGTTTTTTAACAATTTTCAAATTTTGAAATATCCAAATTTTCAAGCTTTCAAATACTCAAATTTTCAAGCTTTCAAATACTCCAAAAGCCAGCTTTAAAAGCGAAAAAAAAACAAAGTCTCTTTGCATAGTCGAAAAAAGTGACACGTCTCTCTTACGTTAATCACGACTTCGAAACTTTCGAGCCGTCAGGTGTGCCGTTCCCAAATTTCTTCGATATGCGATCATCGATTGCGTATATGCATGTGTATAAGCGACGTAATGAAATGTAACCGAACGTTTCTTTTCAGATCGTTATGCCCCGCGGAGCGAAGCAGGCGAAAGGTCTTTTGTTGAGCTGCATAGAGGAACCGGATCCCTGCATCATGTTCGAGCCAAAAATACTCTACCGTACCGCGATCGACGAGGTGCCGACGGCTCATTACAAGATAGAGATCGGCAAGGCTGAGGTTGTGAGGCAAGGTAGGCGTGCAAGAAGACCGAAGCGAGCCTCCTTGGATAAGTTTCACTTTTATGCCTGCGTAACAATGTCGCCTATGAAGTTCCATCTGAATATCCTTCGCACACGTTAATCGATTTTTTCTTTCCTCTCGTCAGCAATGATCTTCGATCTTTGGAATTTTCACGGGAGAATTTTTAAGCTTGGTTCGCCCAACGAGGAATTACCCATGTGAATAATTCGTCACACGCCCGTGAATCGGTAATACAGTGCAAATGATCGGTAATGAAGAGTCGATTAGCGATCGAGGCTTTCGTCAGGGTTGTGGGTTACCTCGATGATCGCAACTTCTTAGGAACGATCTTTGCAATTTTTTTCATTGAAATTACTCGAATTTTGGAGACGTTCTTTTTTAACACTTAACCACTTTACCAACAAACATATTTTTTTTTTGGTACCAATTTTAAATACCACCTGTAGATAATTACACGTATTCTGACCCAAAAATTTCAGGATAATCGTGACTAGCGTTTACCTTTCCAACAAATTATCAAACAACCTTCAATTGCAATCAACACTTAACCACGAGATTCAACTCATTTCCCAACAAACATACATTTCTTTTTATGAATTTTAAATACCATCTACAGATAACTCCAAGTATTCCAACCCAAGAACCTACCATTTATCCAAGTAACTCATCTCACTATCCAACAAATTACCAAAGCACCTTCATCATCTAATCCCAAAATAACCCACCTCTTCCACAATCCAGCCAACGATACCTTAACAATTAACTCATTAAGTCTCTCATTCCCTAACAGTACCTCCCACTCAATACCCAAACAACGTAAATCATCTCTGAGAACCTATTTCACCATTTCCAACGAAAACTCACCTAATCACCGTAAAGTATAATATTTACCAGTGGTGATCGTCCTTTGATTATCCGGTCCGTGGAGCGGCACACGCGATCACCGGTCCTCAAACAGGATACCGCGTCACGTACAACACATACACATCCATACATACAGAGAGAAGCGAGCGTAATTGCAAGACGCGTAAGGTGAAACGAGGCAGCGGTGTACAGGTGTGCGGATTTGCACGTAGGTGACGCGGTGACACTAGTGGGCTGGGGTACTCAGGTGCACGTACTGCTGGAGGTGGCCGATCTCGTCCAGGAGGAGCTCGGCGCGTCCTGCGAGGTGATAGACCTCGTTTCTATCCTGCCTTGGGACGCGGAACTCGTTTGCAAGGTAATTTCGTCATTATAATTCGCTCTGTTTCTCCGTTTTTTTCTTTCTTTCTCTCTCTCTTCTCTCCTTCTTACTTCCATCGCTCGCATGCGTTACGTTCAAAAGCGCAACTGTTACGTTTGCACGGCTATTACGTGGGCTCGTGTCCTTCGCCGAGACAAGAGAGAGAGTGAGATGGAAAGTGAGAGGGAGGAGATACGGCGGTATTTTAATCGAACGATTCGTTCGCGGAGTGCAGTTTCGCTTGTGAAACTCGCAGAGGTGGCGCACACTTTTTTACCTCGTTGCTCTTCTTTTTTCTCTCTTTTTTATTTTTGAGGATCGATTTTTAACGACTCGTGGAGATCGGTGAGTTTGAGAGGGAAGTTTAATTGCAATTGAATTTTGGTTTTGTTAACGGCACAGTTTTCCAAATTAATTGAAACATTTTCGAACGAAGTTTAATACAAAGATTCACTGTCCTCAATGATCTACAATATGGTGACAAGAATTGTTTTAACACGTTCGTCGCCACGTCATCCATATCTGGGTGACGCGTATGCTTCCGTGGGGGCCCCGTCACCCAGATATATGGGTGACGTTCTTCTTCGTCAAGTTAAATAGGATTTCACAAGTAATTTATAAAAATCCATATAACACAAGAATTTCAAGGAATATCACGCTATATTATACTATACATTAATTTATATTTAAAATAAAATACAACATTATACTACGTAGCATGGTATTCGTTAAAACAGTTGGAACACATTTGTGATGATTTTGGACAATTGGGACAATATGTCTTTTTTACATTTTTTCTCGCTTCCTGGCGTTCAAGAATTTGTCTCTTCTTCTGGTAACATGGAACGCAAATTCCAGCTAATCGCTCTGTTTACGTTGTTGCGCTCCGATTATCGGATTTGGGCCCCGCGAGAAACTCGATCGATTCACGCTGGGCGACGAACGTGTTAAGAGAAATTAATTTGCTTTTCAAAATCACACTAGTTTCATGAACTTTTTTGGACATTACTCTATTGAGTCCATCTACTAAGGATCTCCCTTCAACTTTTTTAATTTTCGAGCTACCTCAGAGCACTATCACCGAAACCGAAGAACACTTGTTATCCTGAAAAAGAGCTTTTTGCAATATCTGAACGCGAGAAAAGTGAATTTCCCTCTTCCCTCCCAGTCTCCCCTGCACAGTAACAATTCGACGACGAGAGACACTCCTTCCACGATTGAACACACATAGAAACAGCAAAAAGAACCTCTAACACGATGAATTTTTTTCGCCGGTTAACTAACAAATCCCTATCGAGATCAGTCGCGACTTTCTTTTCGCAGCCAGTTTCAAAATCTGGAAACTTTCGAAATTCGTGGAAAAAGTTGAAGTCGCGTTGCAAAATAATTATGAAACGTAGATAAACGTGTACACGTCCATTTTCATTTGCGAAATCGGTACCGGCGCGGATTATCCGACGCGATCGTCGTTGCTTTTGCCGCCTCTCTCCTTCAATTAGCAGCTCGTTAAGCCTCCTCGTTCCATCGAAAACGCAAACTCCAGCCAACGAGAAGATAAGCTCGTTTCTTCGAGCGTGAACTCCGTTCGAAAAATCTCCCTTAATCGAACTTGGACGAAACCTTCGTTTCTTTATTTATATTATTTATTTATCCGATAACGTTAGATACAGCGTTTTCGCTTGGTGTACATAAACACGAGCTGGTGCAGCGAACGAAGACAACATTCACTCGTCCGAATTACGATACGCCGCGGACGCTAATATCGCGTTGATTTATGCTAATCGATCCTTAGCCGTTTAATGATATGCCGATTGTACGGTATGCATAGGCACTGTGCGTTCATGTGCGGCAACATGCGAACGGCCACGGTGTTACCTAGGTGGTGAGCGTAATTGAAAACCCGTTTCGCGTAATTTCGATACGCTCGTGGATTCCCCGCGTCCTCGATGATGCGAATCCTGGCGACGAAATTCGAAGGTATCGACGCTGGTGGAGAGTAGCTTCGAGATGTTTGAAAACGAAGGGAAGATAAGGGTAAAAGGTGTATAGATAGGAAGATTTTGTTTTTTGTTTGCTTGGAGTAATGCACCTTTGGACGATGGTGTGGAATTATTGTAACGGCGAATGTGTCCCTTTGGGAAGTAAGGAGCTTGAGTTGTAACGTGGAAATTTATGGTTTAGTTAAATGAAGAGTTTTAGGGTTTTAGGGAAGGAGATAACGGAGGGTGGAAATGTTTCGAAGAAATTGTGGATTACCTCAGGATTAGCAGAAAATCGAAATGGTTATATACAGTTGAAATTTGTTGTGTTTCTCTTTTTAATCTGATTGTGAACTCTTCGGTAGAAGATAAAGAGAGAAGATGTTATCTTGGAATATTTATTTCTGCACAGTAGATTTCCTTAGCTTCTTTCTTTTTACCAGAAAAAGATTTCTACGATCTTTCATTAACAGAAAAGTAATTTCCATAATCCCAACGGTATCTAAGTCCACTGAAACAGCACAAAAATTTCCACAGAAGCCAAGAAACTTAATTCCAAAAAAAGAGAATGAGACCGTTCCAACCCCGTTATCTCTACCATTGAACCCAATCGGAGAAACTGCCTCTAAACTCGAACAAACCAGCTCACCACCGCTCTACACGACCTAAACCACGCTGTAAGTTAAACCGCGCGCGAAACACCTCCATCGACTGGTGCCAATTCCAAACTGTCCAAAACGAACGTCTCATCGATCGTGAAAGTTTTAAGAAGAGCACGATACGGCGGCGGGGTAGGTCGGCTTGAAAACTGGAAATGTCACAGAAACCTGTACGACGTCGTTGCGTAGAATCGTGCACGGTATCGAGTTACCGTTCCTAATGATTTACAACGGGACACACACGCGCCTACGTGTCTTAATTACAGGCCGAGCTCGACGGCGGTTTTCTAACGCCGATCGCTTTTAGATTCGACTCTCGACCACAAAGCGTTTCGTTACTGGCCGCTATATTAATGCATCACTTAACGTCCAAGCCGGCGTATAAATTATTATCATGGGACGGTGCATAAATCATTCACGAATTGATTCGCGGAACGATTCGTTCGGTTCAACGAATTACCGCTCGTGATACGTGATATCATAGACGGAGTTTACGACGACGAGCCTACGTATACGTAGATGTACTCGAGCAAGTTACGAACGTCTTGCTTGTCGATTTCGTAATGGAACATTTCCATAATACCGTTTGGAGAAACGGCGAAATACTAACCGGGAGGGATTTGTGAGTACAGCTTGTGTAAGTGATGAGATTATCCTTTTCGTACACGCTTTCGACGATTCGTCAATTGGAAATATCTCTGATATTGGGGTTATTAGCGAAGTTGAAGAGTCTGTGGGTGACGGGAGAATAAACGTACGCGTGCTCGCGCTTGAAATCTTTTATTTCGAAAACCCAGACGAGATGTCTGATGTCGCTCGTGCGACTTTCGGCGTTTGAATCCCTTCGCGTCGTCAGTCGGGACCATAGCTGCCCTCGGAACGGATGTCAAGTGTCACCCCGCTTTCCGAGGTCAGCCATCCTTATCGGCCCGCCGCGACATCGGCGAAAGACACGTTCGTTGCGTGCGTCTCGCAGTCTCGATGGTGTTTACAATGTGGCGCCGTGCACGCTGCATGGGCCACCACAAGTCCGTTTCGCTGTATTCTGTCGGTTAGTTTTGTCTCTTTAAATAAGTTAAGTATTCTTTTGTGGTTCAGATTTCCTTCAACTCTTTGGCAAGGTGTTTTTACCTTCTGAACGCTCTGTAGACGCTCTTTGCTCGCAGAAACAGGGGAGGAAATGATAATAATACGCACGTAGCTCGAACAAACTCGTTCGAATGAAATTTGTACGTTTTCGGGCAATAATTGACCGAGTAGGCGCTACCAAAAAATAATTCCGACCGGCAGGACTATCGTGCCTACGGGAAATTTCACCGCAAAGAGTTAAGAGAGGGTTCCAGTTTGTATTTGTTGCGGAAGAAGCTGTACTCTGGGCAGACCAGTATTAGATGATCTGTTGTGACCGGTGTGTTACACTCGTAATGTGATGCCCGGTTTGCTCCAATTCCTCGAAACTAGGAGCAGGTATTGAGGTATCGCTGAATTGAAACACTTCAAGATCGTCGTTGCGTAGAAACAGAACGTGATTTGAGAGAAAATAGAGAATGAACGCGGAAATGGAGAAAATAGGGCTATTTAAGGGTTCTGGGAAGACGGACTTTGGGTTCTGACTATGCAGGAGAGTTGAGAGTAATGGTGAAAGCGACTGGTTGTAAATACAGGTAAAGCTAAGGACTAAGAAGGAAAATATTGGAGGGTGTAACAGTTAGAAGACAGGTGTGGGAGATCTTTGAGTGTCCTGTTGAAACGCTAATTTTCTCCTGGACATCTTTGAAAAAGAAATTGTTAAGGTTGATCGTACGCTGTTAATTTCCCTTCAGTTTCTCATTAGACTTTGAATTTCTTTCTACGTATCTTTTATCTTTGCAACGATATCGCCTTCTTATTGATAACCTTTCTTTCCATCCTCGAACGACAGAGAAGTGTCCTACTTGTACAGTAAATTCTCTACAAGTGTCAGTCAGTTTTGATTCTACAAGTGTCAGTATAGATGGTCCTACGCCTAGGTCTACGTCATTGCTGCGCTCGCTGTCAGTCAAGCGTGTAACGCTACACCAATCGGTTTCTTTTACCAGATTTCACGGTTCGACAATTCATAATAGAAAAATATTTACTTTTTTTCATCTGAAATTTTTTTTAACATGTTGGTGAGATTTTTCTGATGAAAATGAGATCAAACACGATATAATTTGAACAACATTTACTTATTAATACTTATTGAGTAATTAATTTAATGTCGGCCTACCTCCACGTAAAAAAAATGTAGGGCCGATTCTACAAATGTCAGTCAAATGTAGGGACGTTTCATGCTTATCTTTTATTCGCTGTCCTTGTCTACGTTCGGCAAACTACAAAGGCGGGCGCGAGGCTCGAGAACGTAGTCCCTGACTCTACAAGTGTCTGGTTCAGGTTCCTTGCGGACTGACACTTGTGGAAAATTTACTGTACTCCAACGGAGAGAGAAAGAGATCGTAAAACACGGAATCGAAGAAACACCGTACAATTAGCGTATCGTGCGCGCAATAAAAATTCGAGTGGCAGAAATACCAGAAGGGTAACCCGTTATCCGAATAATTGCCACGGTTCTTTTTACGATCGAAATTACTCTCGAGAGACGTACGTCGCACAATAGGCGATCTTTCGGTAATAATAATAAACGCACAATGTGTTGCAGTCGGCGACGAAAACTGGCCGTGTGGTGATCGCCCATGAAGCGCCGCTAACCAATGGATTCGGAGCAGAAATAGTTTCCACCGTTCAGGTAAAACGCTTTCCGGAGACCAGATGACACAATACCTCGCTGAAAATTGAAACTGTGCAGAATTGCTGCCGTGTACCGAGCTTCCATCTACAATTTTTCTACGTTACTCGTTTCTTTTTCTCTTTTCGATTCTCCGTCAGATTTGATGTATGTACGCTCGACGTGTTCGAACGGAGGAAAGTTTTCGGCGATAGGAGAAATATCACGGCAATCACGCCTCGTAATACGGAATAACTCCACGTAATTGAAGCATATCACTGGCGATAATTTCAGATAAGCCTGAACACGATCGAGAATATCGCGGAACCGGTGATACTTAAACGAGACTTTTAAGTAAGATTCCGGTTACGAAGTTTATTTACAACGGTGCTGCCGAAAATGCATTTGATGCATGTTCAATGCATCGTTGGAATGTGGCAGGATATCGTTACGCGTGTTCTCTGTTACGTCATCTCGGCGCACTTCGTGACGGTTCGATACGCTTCAGCTTGCTCAGATGTACAAACCTTCGCCGACTTGCAAAACTCTGCCGATTCCTAGCGCTAAATTAGCAAATGGATAGCTCGCGGTCGGGTCGTTTGTAATTCAAACATTCGTCTAATAATACGGTCGCGGACATGTCCCGCCGTTCGACGTGACAAAGTTTCCCGGGTAATCGCTATGATTAATCCACGTACTTTTCCAGCTTCCAACATTGTACACGTTTTAACGTTTGTCGTTTCGAACTCTCTTCGAATGAAAAGTTCGCGATGGAAGTGAACACTCGGTGCACGATAGATTAACCGTTTTAGCGCTACGGGTTGTTGCAGAAATCCGATCGAAAAATTGCAAAAATTTTCTTCTCGACATTTTCACCGAATACGACTGTTTGGAGATGACACGAGACGAAGGCAAAATTGATTACGTGCAGGAATTCTGCTAAACTTTTTATTTCAAAACTGGACTAAAGTGGCACTTTTCGACGTCGAATACGAAAACCTTGGCGCCCGAACGGTTCAATTGTGCAAGATAGTAGAGACCATATGTTAGGAGACGAATGAAGAAATTTGTGTTAATTCGTTTTTAGACGAGGAATTAATCGAAAGTTGTTTGCAACGCAGGAACAGTGTTTTCTACATCTGGAGGCGCCTATTCAAAGGGTTACAGGCTGGGACAGTCCCTTTCCGCACGTCTTCGAGCCGTTTTATCTGCCCGACAAGTGGCGGTGCTTCGCGGCTGTCAGAAACATCCTGAACTACTGAAGAGACAGGGATATTCTACTTAAGAACACGGCGCAGTAGAATACACCAGAAACCTGTTGCCTGTGCGGACATTACCCCGCGAGAACACTCACGCTTTAGATATCGATTTTCGGTATTCTCTATGGACTCCCTCTATATCTCGGTGGTTAGAGAGAGAGAGAGATAGATTGGTCCAGGTGAAGTTTAATAAGTTCAATCGTTATCGTCCAAATTTGTCGGGTTTTTCTCTCAATTGTCAAACCATGTGAAACTCGAGGAAGGTAATCACGAAGGATCAGGTTTAAAGGTTCTTTGCTATGTGTATTTTTATGTTTCTTATGGTAATTTAATAAACTGATACTACTGTCGACGTTACGTTGAAGAATGCTGTTCTTTTACGAGTGTCTGGTTACAGATAAGAGTGACATCGGAGAGGACGAATAATGTTCGACTAATTTCTTTCGCACCTTCAAAGACAGTACCAGGGTAGTTTATTTTTTCGATATTCGACTAACTCTGTTTTTATAAAAATTGATATTCGGAATAATGCAGAAATGTAGAGTGTAACGAAAGTTTATGGACTCTGAGTTTAGTAAGTTAGCATGATCGAACGGAGAGTGAAATTTAACCCTTTGCACTCTAAGGGGAGTTCCAATATGCACCATACCTCCGTTCAATATTCAAATTAACAAAAAACTGAAAATATTGGATGGAGGAGAGTGAAAGGTAACGCATAAAATTTTTGAGATTTAACCCTTTACACTCCACGGGGATTCCCAAAATCCTCCGCACCTCCGTTCAATCTTCAAAATAAATGCAAACTTTCCAATCTGAAAACTCTACCAAAGTGCAATTAGCCCGTAAATCGACCGTTTTTGCAATCTCCACGACCAGGAACTTCCATTACACACCGTATTAATCGCAAACACAGAGGCGAACGTTCACAGGCATCTCGAATACCCACGAAGTCGACCTGGTAAACAGAGCGGAGGGGCATCGAACCAGTAAAAGCATAGACGGCCCGCAATCTTCTTGGTTAACTAAACGTGAAATCCCGAGGCGAGGCGTCGCGTCTGAATTCCTCTTCGAGCCATCCTCGTCGTCGGTTTCCCTTAGCACGAAAGAGACCGAAAGGAAAGGGCCACACGGTGGTGCACGGTTTTATTGTTCGCGTGGCGAACGCTCGTGTCCCTGACCCAATTTCTACCGTGGCCAGGCCTGTTGGAAGGAATCGCGTCGAAAGATGATACAAATCGTGGCCGGCGGCGTCGGTGGCGATGGCGATGGCGACGGCAACAAGAAGTCCCGTCGAATCGATATTCGCAATTAGAACGGACGTGCCTACTGGTTTTTACAGAATATCTGGGTCAAGTCTGTCTTTAGCAGTAAAATCGAGCGCCCGATCGTGTGTGGACCATGCGTGGCAACGTAATATCTTAATCAAGGCTTCAGTCTCAGGTGTTGCCACCGGTCGCCCTGTATCCTTGGAGAAGGCGAAACCGGGCTCGTCAATAGAACGCGATTTTACGACCTCAATATCTGCGCGGGGGTCGTGAATCGAGAGGGGGGGAAAAGAAAGAAACGGGGTTCTAGGAAAATGGTTACGGCCGATTGAAACGGCGAATTAAGTAAATTGCGAGTTTTCACTTAACACGTGTGTGACGCGCCAATTCCCATGATGGAACGGTGTTATCGACGTGCAATCATGAAAAATGCACAGTTCCAGTATGTCATTTGGCGTGCATATGTGCAGGCATCTGTCGTATTATGTAAAACTGAAAGAAATGTAGATGTGAATCCTTTGCACTCCGAAGTTTCTTTACATTTTCTTTCAAGTTCTATTTGAAATGTACTCCGAAGGACGATTAGTGAATATTAAAAACAGATTTGGAGCTTTGCCGAGAATTGTTATTTGTCGAAAAATGTAATACATATTTGAAAATATCGAGTGTGACTCGACATAAAATGAAAATAATTCGAAGGATAACCGGTGACCAATTTCACTTACCGACCTTTATCGAATACCACGAGGAAATTTCAAGGGAAGATTTCAGAAAGCCCGTCGATTATACGGCGAAGCTTGGAAACACTACTCGACGTGGGATAAACACGCGGAATTAGTTACTGAATAGTGACTAACTATATCGAACGATTTCAGTGACATTAACGAGGGCGAAACGATCCTTCGTCGATGTGAAAAGAGTACGCTCGACGATACAGCACCCGCCAGGCCATTTTCTCGCCGATGTATAGACTAACGCTTTCGATGTTTCGAAGATCGGCGGAGATGTTGGTCAGACCTCGCGCGCGCGAAATCGCGGCAAGAAAAGAAAATAGCGAGCAAACGAAGGAAGTGTGCGGCGAGCAATGTGCGCTCGCACCGTATTTTGTAATTTGAAAGGGAAACCACATTCTTTCACTGTGTATTATGATACGTGAAAGTTGGCAACGGTGCACACCGGCGAAGCACACGGGCCGGCAGAAACAGAAAGGCAAGAGAAGAAGAGGGACGAAAGAACGGGCGGCGAGGGAGAGACAGAGAAAGAGGTGAAGTGTCGTGACGTGGGTGCGACGAGGAGAGTGAGAGGCCTGGAGAACAGACGCGGATAGTTGGAGAGAGATAGGCAAGTGGCAGCGGAGGCATAGACTATATCGAAGGTCGACGAGTTGCCTTTTTATTAGTCGATTTTTGCGGGAATAGAGCAACGGCTCGTGCACGAGCTAACATATGGCGCCGATGCGTTCACATGCATCAAAAGTTGACGGATTCCCGGTCGCGTTAATCCGATCCACGCGATGGATCGATCGATCTGCGTGAGCGCGGTTCACCGTCGAGATCGCGATGGCCGAAATCAGCCGTGCCGATCGATGCGGTCTTATTTTAAGCGGGACGTTGTCCTCGCGATTATGGCGACCAGGCCGTCGAACGTTAACGAATGAACGGGTTAACGGCGGAACGATGCATTTGATTAATGCGAAATATGTTGTCTAATAAGTCACATTTAGATGTAGGTATTGTATGAAGAACTTCGAAATTAGAGTGATTAAAGGAAAAATAAATTGTGTGAGAATAATCGCCACACACTTGGACAAAAGAATCTTAATTTCTATAATGTCCTCTCTTCTGGTATATTTAAGTATGCTACACGAAGAACTTCAAAATTGGAAATTATTGAGCAAGGGGACGATTTTATGATACGTGATTTCTAGTTCAGCAAACCGTTATTTTGAATTTAGCAGACCGGTCTGCAGCCAACATGCGGCACGTGGAATTTCTCAAATATTAAAGAATAGGCTGTAAGGCAAGGTATTATAAAGTCACCCCCAAAGGGTCTTCGAACTCTCGGTACCTGACCTTCCGAACGAGTCGGAGAGTCAGAGTTGACCTGGCAAATTCCCGTCCACCAAGGACCAGCTTCGTCACCCCTGCTCCAAGGACGTGACGCGCTCCGGGCGCAATGGAAGGGGATGATACGGGGTTGGTCACTTAGTAATTTTAAGAACCTCCCTTCGCGTCCCTTCTTCAAATTTCAGAAGATTTGGAGAAGGGACGGCTCGATAAGAAGGCCGACTTAGCTTAAGACCACAGAGTGTTAGTACACAGACCATCGGTTACATTAGGAATAATAAAGATTCAGTCAGAATCTCAACGCAATACATTCAATCTTCAGACCTAGTGCAATATTCCAAGTACGCGGAAATTAGCACCCGAGTGCTTAACACTCGCCATACACGTGGACAAGAGCAATTTAACACTAAAAAGTTCTTTAACATCATCGGCAACTTTCCAAAAGCGGAATTTTTCAAATCAGATTCTTATCATAGGTGTGCTAGCATCGAGCCAAGATAAGCAGATGACCTAACAGTACTATATTAAAAAGAAAACATTTGAACGAGTTCGGTTCGATCTAGTGTTAACAGATAAACCTTAGATCAGGATGGGAAAGGATCTCGTGAATTCTTCTTCGCTATCTAACCGGTCGATAATCCCGAAAGAGCGAAGGGGAGCTGGTTTCTCTGCTTCGATCTCACGTTTCTTCCTGAAATTTCTGCCGGTGAGAAAATTGAAAGAGAAGAAAATAGACGCAGCGTGTTCTGGTAGCGACCTCGCGAGATACACGCGCGACTACCGTCGATTAATTAATTAACCGAACCGCGGTCGATTGAATTTCTCAGCACGTGTCAATGCCGTACGCTCGTCGGTCTGGTTACGATTCAACAGCCGTGCCGATTTTATTACGTTTGATTTAGAACATGCACACGCGAGAGCGACACGCGTTTCCACGGAGCGATGCAACCAGCAGGGCCCCGGGTCAATATTGTTTCCCACCCCGGGTGCACCGATTCCGACGCCCGTAAAAATTTCCATCGACCCGGTCACGTATTTGCGGCGCTTTCGAAACTTACAGCTGCGCTTTTATCTTATCGAAATATATAATTTTGTTTGCCGTATGTGGCTGACGCGGCCGACACTCGCGCTAGTGCTTTAAAGAGCCGTGCACTGCAACGTTTTCTCGCATTCGAGAAAATTTCGTTCGAGGAAAATTAGCAGTTGAAGAAAATTAGCGTTTGAAGAAAATTTCGTGTTTAAATGAAAATTCGATTAGACGATCCATACAAAAGATCTTTGTATCATTTTTTAAAAATTGTTTCGCTACACGTTTCAGACTGAAGATTTCAGAGTTTGTCGCGGTCAACGCGATCTTAGTCAACGAAGACGCGAGAAGAAAAGAATGAAGGAAGTAGATCGACGTCACATAGTTCACTGTCGCAATGAAAATTCTTCCTCTATCCAGGATTCTTCTAGCCAGATTTCCCCGTTCCTCGAACCTTATTCCAGATAACTCCCAGTTATCACCCGACTATCTAAATGTCGCAGACTCGATAAGAACTGAATATCTCACGTCGAGGATACAAGGTGGACGGACTTGCATGGTATTACGTTATATCATCGATACGTTTCTTCCCTGTAATTGAAACATTCCTCAGATTTATCTTTCTATCGCCAACTATCGTTTCTTTACGACGAGCCAGATTTCGCAATAGGAAAGTTACGGGAACTGTTCGCTAGTTTCGAGGCACGATACTCTTTTACATATTTTACTCGCCTTTGATTCTCATTCTTATCTCCCAGAATACACAACG